GACCAGGCAGTCGTGACATCTTGTACAGCTTTCTGATGAGGCATCGCTCCTGCCGGGATGCTGGCTATTTGAAGTCACGCATTTTCAAAAAGTTTCAGAGCAAATCTGCCAAAGATCCAAAGGAGTCAGCCACTTGCCATCAATGTTAAAAATACTGCAAGTAAAAGTACAGTTGAAAGAGCCAGGCTTCAGGTAGCTCTTTGCCATTCTCTAGGAACTGAAGATCCTACCCTGGGGAACCAGCTGGCTTTATCATTGAAGCCAGGTGATAAAAGGAACAATGGCTATAGTGAACAATGGTGCTTCTCAGCTCTTGAGCTGATGAAAAAATTACCTTCCCCAGCTGAGTCTCTAGAGTCTGGGAGTTTTTAATAAACAAACACCAGAGACCAGACAGAGGCAGCAGCTGCAGAATGTAGATAAAGGAAGGCTCAGGGTGGCTGAAAGTTTGAGCAGAGGGGCTTTGTCATTCTAACTCCTCCCAAGATATGCCCGGACTGTCCCCACTGCCTGGCCAAGTTCTACAGTCAGCCTGTGCAGCCTTGGACGAGGCATTTAACCTGTTTGAAGCCTTAGAGTCTTCATTTATCACATGAAGATTATACCTTTTGTGTCAGGGTAGTTGTGAGGATAAAATGATATGATAGCTTAGATTGGCTTCAAAATAATATAAGAAAGGAGAAAAGGTCAGGGATATGGATGAATCAAGCTTGATCAGGAGGTGACAGTTGATGCTGAACACCAGACATCAAGAGACTCATTACACTATTCAGTCTGCTTTAGTCTGAAATAGGTTTGAAATTTTCCATAATTAAAACTTTTTTTTAAAAAATGAAATCAGCAGAAATGCACGTCTGTAAGGAACAGTGTGTTTCAAAGGACTGAGGAGTCAAGACAGATTCTGCTCTTAGCTAGTCAAACACTCTTCATTCAGTATGTAGCAGTTGCTTTGGGGAAGATAATTTTCAAGAATAAATGAATTAGGATAAAATAATTATTTTTTCTGTGTGACCATAGTTTGAACATGTCTGCACATACTCTGTTACCTCTTGTGTCTGAGAGTCTACTTATGAGAAAATGAAACAAATTTGACCTTTCATTTCGTAAAATAAAATCACCATATGACAGGGTCTGTGTGGGATGTTTGTGTGTGTGTGTGTGTGTGTGTGTGTGTGTGTGATGGAGGGTAGATGTAATTATTATTTCTCCTTCAGATATTTTCAGGTTTTACATTATTGGGAAGACATTTGGACGTCATGATGTTTTTTTTTAATCTGTTCTCAGATTTTATTTTATCCTATTTTATTAGCAAAATGCTGTTGTGCAATTTGAAAGTCAAGGAATAGAATTGTACCTCACTGATTAAACATTAGGATAAGTAGGGTTATTTTCAAGATCCATTCACACAATCTAGAACGTGATTTGAATGCAGTGAATTACATTCTGATGTATCTTAAAATGTGACTATCTTTAGGGTAGCAGTTGTCAACCACAGGAATCGTCAAGTTGGGGAACATATTAGCTGGGGTATGTAAAAGCTTCTCCATAGAGTTTGGGGCCACTTAGATAGTTCTACATGAATATCTTTACATTCCTTAATTCCCTGCTAATTCTCCTTTCCCATCTAACCTGTAGTACAATAGTCCTTCCTCACTAGTACTAAAGAAACGCCTAACTCTCCCACATCTGGCCCCCAGTGGAGAAAGGAGGACAGTTCAGAATACCAGTGTCATATTAACAGTGGTGTGACTCTAATGATTGAATAACGAATTCTTCTGCTCATTGGATGGTTAGAAACCCACTGCTGCTAACAGAAATGAAGGACCTAATGGAGTTGTCTTATGATGTATCATTAAAAAAAGTCTTTGGTGAAAGGTTATTAGGCGATTTCGGCATGTAATTCAGTTCAAAGAATTAGTGACACTGCTTTAACAAAAGTCCATCTACTTATTTATGCAGACAAGATGTCTCATCAGTATCATTTATAAAAGCAAATATTAGTATAGCGTTTATACCAAAAGTAATGAAATACCCAGGAATAAACTTAATCAAGAAGGTGAAAGATCTATACTCCAAAAACTATAAAACATTGATGAAAGAAATTGAAGACAACACAAACTAATGGAAAGATATTCCATGCTCACAGATTGGAAGAACAAGTAAAGCAATCTACAGATTTAATGCAATCCCTAATAAAATACCAACAGTATTTTTCACAGAACTAGAACAAACAATCCTAATAATATGAAACCACAAAAGTCCTCAAATAGCCAAACCAATCTTGAAAAGAAAAAAAAAAAAACTGACGATATCATAATCCCAGATTTCAAGATATCCTACAAAGCTGTAGTAATCAAAACAGTATGGTACTGGCACCAAAATGGACACATATATCAACAGAACAGAATGGAGAGCCCGGAAATAAACCCATGATTATATATATAGCCAATTAATCTTTGACAAAGGAGACAAGAATATACAATGGGAAAAAACAAATGGTGTGGGGACAGTGACATGCAACAGAATGAAATCAGACCACTTTCCTACACCATATATGAAAATAAACTAAAAAATTAAGGACATAAATGTGAAACCTGAACCATAAAAATCATGGGAGAGAGCAACACAGGCAGTAATTTCTCTGACATTGGCCTTAGCAACATTTTTCTAGATATATCACCTGAGGCAAGGGAAATAAAAGCAAAAATAAACTATTAGGACTACATCAAAATAACAAGTTTCTGCATAGAAAAGTAAACAACAGAACTAAAAGTCAGCCTACTGAATGGGAGATGTTTGCAAATGACTTATCTGGTAAAGGGTTAGTATCTAAAATATATAAAGAAGTTATCTCAACACCAAAAAACAAATGATCTGGGTAAAAATGGGCAGAAGACATGAACAGACATTTCTCCAAAGACATCCAGATGGCCAACAAACACAAGAAAAGATGCTCAACATAACTCATCATCAGGGAAATGCAAATCAAAACTACAATGACATATCCCCTCATACCTGTCAAATGGCTAGAATTAAAAACACATGAAACAGCAAGTGGTGAGGATGTGGGGGGAGAGAAACCCTTGTGCACTGTTGGTGGGAGTGCAAACTGGCGCAGACACTGTGGAAGACACTATGGAGGTTCCTCAAAAAATTAAAAAATAGAATCACCATATGATCCACTCATTCCACTACTGAATATTTACCCCCAAATTATGAAAACACTAATTGGAAAAGACATATGCACCCCTATGCTTATTGTAGCATTATTTACAGTAGCCAAATTATGGAAACCGCCCAAGTGTCTATTGATAGATAAATGGATAAAGATGTGGTATAGGGGCTCCTGACTGACTCAGTTGTTTAAGTATCTGACATCTGCTTAAGTCATTATCTCAGGATCCTGGGATTGAGCCCCGCATTGGGTTCCTGTTCAGTGGGGAGTCTACTTGTCCCTCCCTTTCTACCCCTCCTTCTGCTCATGCTCTGCCTCTTTCTCAAATGAATAATAAAATATTTTTTAAAAAAGATATAGTATATATATATATATATATATATATATACAACAAAATATTATTCAGTGATAAAAAATGTCATTTGCAACAACATGGATGGATCTAGAGGGTAAAATGCTAAGTGAAATAAGTCATTAATTCCCCTGATTTTTGGAATTTAAGAAATGAAACAAAGGAACAAAAGAAAAAAGAGATAAACAAAAAGACGGACTCTGAACTACAGAGAACGAACTGATAGTTACCAGAGGGGACGTTGGCAAGGGGGCAGGGGGAAAGGGTGAAATAGATAGTGGAGATTAATAATACAATTATCAGGATGAGCACTGAATAATGCATGGAATTGTCAAATCACTATATTGTACACCTGAAACACTAAATGTTAATTATACTGTTATTTGTAAAATATAGAAAAAATTATTTTATTTTTTTTAAAGATTTTTATATATTCATGAGAGACACAGAGAGAGAGAGGCAGAGACAGAGATAGAGGGAGAAGTAGGTTCCCTAAGGGAGCCTGATGCGGGAGTCGATTCCAGAACCCCAGGATCACAAACCGAGCCAAAGGCAGACACTCAACCACTGGTGTCCCAGAAAAAAATTTTAAAACTGCATTTGACTTTTTAAAAATGGGATAATGTTGATGCTGACCCTGTATCATTCAGCAATAATTAATATTCATTAATAGATACATGAAGTACTTATGACACATACATCTCATTAAGAGAGGAACTTTTTAATAAGTTGGTACTTTTAATAATCATAAAGTTTGTAATATGTTTTCACTATTTTGACCAATTGTATCTGAATAATTATAGTAACTCTGTTTTGGAGATTTATTTTTGATGCTTTAAAGACTTATGTTCTCAGGAAATCTTTAAACTTTTTAAAATTTAACATATATTTTCATAGCAAAGAGATATGATACAGTAATTAATTAAAAATATTCAAGTATAGGTGCACCTGGGTAGCTCAGTCATTTAAGCATCTAACTCTTGGTTTCTTCTCAGGATCATGATCCCAGGGTCATGATATCTAGCCCCATGTTGGGAGTCTGCTTGAGATCCTTTACTTCCCCTTATAGGGGAAGTGAAATGGAAACAGAAATGCAAGAAGGAAAGGACCAATGTTAAGTTCCTATTACAAATTTCTATTTTAAAAGGAATTATTTTCTATTTTTTTAAATGGAAAATATCAAATTACTTACGGCATTTCAATTCCATCGGATATGGAAAGAGTAGTGAAACAATTCTATTTTTAACAGTCAGTATTCTAATATGTGGGAAACTAACCATTTATAACTACTTAAACTTACAAAAAATTTAGTTCTCTAGTTAAAAATAGGAACTTATTTTGATATATTTGACTAAGTGTTTGAAAGTCACAGGTCCACAGCCTGTTGGATGTTACACCAAATCCTGAAGAAATACACTGCATTTACAGAATTTCCCATCGGATCTAACAGAAGATGTTGTCTTTGTTCAACAGGACGGTCTAACGCCCCTGCACTGTGGAGCAAGGAGTGGCCATGAGCAGGTGGTGGAAATGCTGCTCGATCGAGCTGCCCCCATTCTTTCAAAAACCAAGGTAATTTCTTCCCAAATTTTTGGACATTATTTAGCCTTACAGCCCTTTACTGCTTATTTAACTTATTTAACTGCCTTTTGAATCCTAGAAAAATGATATCATTCCAACTTAGCAATTAAGAGTAAGCTAGTTTGATCTTTGGAGAACTTCACAATTTGTTCGGGCTTATGAAGCCTTTTGATAGAATCCACTCCACCACAAAGTCACTTTTGTATGCGTTGCTTTTGTTTTTACTTTGTTTCAGGAACACTGACTGCTTGATATCATTCTATGATATTTCCGTAGCTCAGCAATGACTGCTTGTTGGAGAAAGAAAATACCAGATCTATAGTCTCTAATGCATGGGTGCTGGCTCTCTTTCTCCATCCCCTTGGTTCTTTTCTTGAGACTTACAGATTATTAAAGAGGATATCGTTGAATGAAACATTGCAAAGATTGCATCTTGCTTGGGCCTTGGGGAAATTGACTTATGCAAAAGGAATGCATGATGATTGCCCAAAAACTAATGTTTTACAAAATGTCTTCTAGATTTTTATGGCAAAGCTTTTTTGACACTATTTAAAAAGAGAGGATATTTGTAAATAAATTTTGGTACATAAACTACCTGAATCCCTACTGCTTACATTAATCAGTGATTTTTGGAAGCTGCACTAAGCTTTATAAAAAGCCTTATTTCTAAACATCATCAAAACAACAAAAAATAATTACTCCTGTTTGCTCTCTGGTCAATGTTTCCTCAACAACCCCAGTGAAGATGGACCAGGGTGGAGGTGGTCTGAATAATCCCCTCACTTACTTGTAATGAAGGATTTATATTAGTGAGGCAGGGAGGAATCACCCACAGGGTTAAACAGCCACAAGATTTCATGGTATGTGATGACACCTTGGCCTTTTGAGTACTTCTCATCTAAGCCATTCTGTTTCTGCTTTTTTCCTTTCAAGAAGTCTTTTTTTTTTTTTTTTTCCACCTCTACTGCTTTCAAGCCACCTCACCACAGACTAAACCCTGCAATACCTGCAATAGCTTCCTACTGGTCCCCTGTGTCCCACCTTGCTCTTTTCCGGTCCCACTCCCTATGCGGTCACAGTGGCCAGATAAACTGTCAACCAACTCATGTCACCTCCTGCCTAGAAACCTTTACTCTCTTAAAAGTTAATTTTCATTTTATCAGAACAGTAAGGCATAGCTAAAAATAAAATTGCTGTCTCAGTTTTTTCTCCCTTTTGCTCATCTCTGTCTTTTCTTTCTTTCCAAGAGATTTCCTTGATGTCTTTTCTTCTGTGTTTGTAACATGCAAGAACATTTTCTTGCTCTCTGATAGTTTCTTTTCCTTAAGCATCCAGTTCTTGTGTAATGGATGCAATATAGTTTATTACCTTTCTGAGAACACTCAAGATAACTTTACTTTTTTTCTGTCTCTCTTTTGTCCCTAATTCCTCACATTTTTTGTTTTTCTCTTTGTTGGCTTTGACTCTCTCTTTATGTTGGGTGTTACCCACAAATGTCTGTACCTGACCATCAGTGTCAGACACTAGCAATTGAGTAGAAACTCTATGTGAGTGTAGGCAGGGCTCCACTCCAGTATATCAGGTGGTGGTGGCCCCCCATGTCCCTATCAGCTGCCCTGTTTTCTGGGAAGTTCAATTTTTTTGAGAGATGAATCTTCCAATCTTTTGCAGTGTACAGCTGTGTAAATACATGCAGAGTAAGAAAAAGAAGGGGCTGTCATTCTCCCGGTCCTCTGCACACTTCAATCATGATAGTGAGAATGAATATTTACATGCTATCTACTACACAGCAGGCTTTAACACTTTACATATATCAATCCATTTAATCCTCACAATGAGGTCCTAATGTTACTTTTATTCCCTTTTTATGGATGAAACAATGGAGATCCAAAGAGATAAAATGACTTTCTCAAGATATCTTATCTCATGGTAGAACAAGGATTTGAACCCAGACAGTCTAACTCTTGATGACCATACCATCCTCCCTTTTTTCTGTGAGTACCTGGTCTTAGTCCAGAGCCTCACCACTGTCCAATGCTCTGTCCAGGCTCCTGCATCCAGAATCTCTCTGCTTCAGTTTCGTCAGACACTAAACTCTTGATTTCCTGTAAGAGACATAGGGAGATCGTCTGGCTTTACTGGGTCCAAAGGACCTGGAAACCTGACAGCTCCATACACAGGTGAACCAATCCTTCTTTTGACTCTAAGCCTCATCTTTATCTTCCAAGGTGTCCTGTGTTCCTGCCTTTTGGGCATTTGAGAGACAAATCACTTGTCTTTATTTCACTAGTGGTATGTTGGAGCCAGATCATTGAGCCTATTATGTACATCTTTTTCCAATTCTATATTCAGTGACATGTTGATGGCTTGAAATCAGTCATCACAGGGTTCTTTACACCATGGAGATTGGCAAATGCTACATATCGGGGTTTTTCATTTTCAAAGAGCTGTTGTTGTTAAACGTTTACCAGTACACCACTGATGATGCCCATCCACAGACACTTAGCGCTCCGCCTTCTCTCTTCTGCTGGGTATGTTAACACTCTCAACCTTCCTTTCACATTCTAAAATTTATAGACATCACACATCTGTTTTTGTTTCCTTTCCTGTGTGATTTGGGAGTGGATGTGGGTGGGCATGCCCTTACAAAATTTATCTTTTAAATTACTTTAGAGTTTAGAAAAGGATGGGTATGCATAGGTCATACCCACCATATTTCTCCAGAAGTGTCCTCCTGCACTAATAAATCCCTTACCAGCATCTGACCACCTCTCTACCTTATCTCTTGTTCTGCTCCCTACCGTCTTCCAGCAGGCTGGCCTGCTTCTGCTTCCTGGAATACACCAGGTTTGTCCTCATCTGATTGAGTTCCTCAGCTTGGCCCAGATCTCTGCAGTCTCCACCCATTTTTCAACTCAAATGTTTTCTTCTCACAGAGGCCTTCTTGTTAGCTTATCCTCCTGTCTGCTATCTCTCTCTTTTGTAAAATGAAAGCAAGAACTTTACCTCCGTCGGTGCAGTACCCCAAGCACCTAAATTAGTGTCTGGCACATAGTAGACCTCCAAAAAACATTTCCTGAATGAACATTAAGTGAATGAATGTGTTTCTGGCTTTAAGGCCATCTGTCTAATTCCTCAAGGCTTTCATCTTTTTAAGAAAACCCACCAAGTTGGATCTATATTTTCAGCTTTATGAGGTTGCAGTATGTAATAAGATCCTTGCCCCTAGGACAGATGCTCTTTTCCTTTCTTCTCCTTCTCCAACGACCTGTAAGTTACCTACTCATATATTGTTATTTGTGTGTCATTAGAGAATTTCCTTCTTTGGTTGGCACTGCCTTCCATTGCTATTCTCCATGAAATATTTGTTCTCTGAGATGTTGTTTCTTTGTTTACTTCACTGTTGGCCCCTAAGACTGTATCAAAATATAAAGCAAAGGAATGCCTTGGCAGGAAGTAAAGGAGTGCATGAGTGCATATGCTTGTGGGTGGCAGTATCTCAAATGAGAAATGTTCCCATCCTTTGTTTCACATTAGTGTCTACTTTGATTCAAAATGTTAAAGTGGAATTTTTTAGACAGAAATATTCTGATTGACCATATATGAAGTCTTTAAATTTACATGAATATTTATTTCTCTATAAATCCAAGGCTCTCTGCCAGGCAACCTGGGGAAATTATAATCCATGAACCTCTTGCTTTCGAGGAATACAAATAGTTGAAATATATCACAGTGAGTGAATGGTACTATTAAGAGGCTAGAGGAAGGCTTGCACTGCTTCTTCCTATCTTGATCTCCCATCTTATATCATTTATAGATAAATTAGGGGAAATAACTTGACCCAGAGGATTCAGAAATACCTGTGTCATCAGTGCCTGTTTAATACATCATTATTTTCAAAGCTCACTGATAACAAGTTTTTTGGAAACTGAATTTACACTCACTTCCCACCTACCCCCAGATATGTTAGACTATATTACAGTGATTAATAGAGCCTCTCTTGATAATTGGATTCTCTAGAAATTTCCCAGGCTCCTCTACTTTGCCTCCATATTTAAAGGAAGTGTGCTTGAAAAGACTGACGTCTTAATATCTTATTTTTGCCTTCCCTGGGAACAAGTACTGGATGTTAACTGTCCCTCTAACCTGTATTTAAGGCTTCATTTGCCTTTGAGCCTATTCATTTCTTCTTGCAACTCTTTAAAGAATTTTTGACTTATTTTCCCACACATGATTAACTGTGTCCCTGGACCCAGTTGATGTAAACTGAGGCAAGCAATTAGTGACTTGCCTTTCCTCCTTATAGACACATGGGGGCACCAGATTGATGGAAGGGGGAATTTTTCATTTCTACATAGGTATGAAATGAAATGTGTTGTTTCAGTCGGATCTTTATTAAGCAAATTAATATAGTATCTGTATTAAGTGTTAGTAACTTATAAAGACAAAATAAAAACTAGTGCAATGAATACCAAACTACCTCTGCTTTTTTTTTTTTAATCCTTTTCACTCTTTAATATGAAGAATTCTGGGGGTACCCAGCTTGCTCAGTCGATGGAGCTTGCACTCTTGACCTTGTGGTTGTAGGTTCAAGCCCCACACTGGGTATGGAGATTGCTTAAAAATCTTTAATTAAAAACAAGCAAACAAACAAACAAAAAAAGGAATTCCAGTTCACTGGGAATATGGTAAATAATGGACACTATTTGCAATTTATACTTCTTTTTTTAAAGTAGATTCCATGTCCAGTGTGGAGCCCAATGTGGGGCTTGAACTCACAACCCCAAGATCAAGACCTGAACTGAGATCAAGAGTCGAATGCTCAACTGACTGAGCCACCCAGGTGCCTCAGTTCACACTAATTTTAAATCAGAAAAGAAATCAGTTTATCAGTTTATCAGAAACTGATAAAAGAAGTGAGAGGACTGGTTTTAAAAGTTGCTGCAGTTCAAAACAATCATGAAAACCATTTAAAAAGAGGATGCCTGGCTGGTTCAGTAGGGAGCATGTGACTTTGATCTTGAGACTGTGAATTCAAGCCCCATGTATAGTATGGAGTTTGCTTAAAATTAAAAGTAGTATTACACTGTAGGTTAACTCATTGGAATTTAAGTAATAAAACTTTAAAAAAAGAACCTTTTGAAAAGAGAAGGCATTTTTGTGTGAAACACTAGGTTTTCATCTTTTCATATTTGTATTATATTTTGTATTTGGCACATTTGCATTTAAAAAGTAAAAGAATGAATTCTGAGTTTCTTATGTGTTACAGAATGGATTATCTCCACTGCACATGGCCACACAAGGGGATCATTTAAACTGCGTCCAGCTTCTCCTCCAGCATAACGTGCCCGTGGATGACGTCACCAATGACTACCTGACCGCCCTGCACGTGGCTGCCCACTGTGGCCATTACAAAGTCGCCAAGGTTCTCCTGGACAAGAAAGCTAACCCCAATGCCAAAGCCCTGGTGAGTGGCTCAGCCAACAGGTCCAGCCCATGTTGTCTTGCTGACAACATGCTGCCTCCACATGTGAAGGGATTACTTTGAGGAGATAAAAATAAAAGGTCTAATTAAGTAGAATATACTTCTTATCAAATTTGTCAAATATCCTTTGAAGAAACAACCTATTTCTGACATGAACAAGACTGATGTGGCTAATTAGTTAATCTCTTTATGGTCACACTGGTGAATCTCTTACAGAAATAAGACCCAAAGACTGTGTAAGTATAAAAAAGACTCAGGTGGTCCCACTTATATTACTGAGGGTAAAGTTATAATTATGTGACTTAAAATTTTCTTCTAAACTCTAAAAACATGAGGCAAAATAGTTAAAAAAAAACATTCTCTTAAACATCAACAGTCTAGGAAATTGTGAGCTGAAATTTTGTATAATGTGTACCATGTAAGTTAATATATGGCCTTTCAACTCTTTTTCCTTCTGATAAAAATGAAAATTTGGGTCTGATTTTTGTCTTCACTCCTAAAATGATGTTATTTTAACCCTTGTGCTGTGCTATAACTTGATTTTCTTAGCAAGATGGTGTTTTTGTCTTTGGAAAAATAAATTACCCCAATTTGGTAAGCTGTTTAAATTTAGTTCAGAATAGGTACTCATGTTTTGGAAAAAATCAGTCACTGAATGTTAGGGAAAACTTGTGAGTTTACTAGGAATTTTGAGGTAAAGGCTGTCATCTGACCAACGATTTAGGAAGGGTCACTGTTCCTTTCCAACTGGTGCTGTCTCCCTGTCTAAATGGATCCCCAGCTTCTCTGCAGCTCTGTGGGCAGGAGACATGAGGACTGAGGAGCACTCTGACCCCAGCCTGTCATTGTCACTCTAAAAGCTTTTACCACAGCAGCATTTCAAGAGCTGTTGACCTGCCCAGTGTATCAGACATATCTTTGAATTCTGAGAAGGGAGGAAAAGAAATTAGCCATCATGACTCATTTTTCCATGCAAGAAAAAAAAAAAAAGCCTTAAGACAGGGTGTGGACATTCACTCTCATTTTCCTCTGCCTCTAAAGATTTCACAACATGTGAAGGTTATAGCCAGTCATCCTGAGATGGACTATAGCCAGGTGAATGGTCTTAGGATGGCTATGGAAGCACCTGTAGTGACACTGATGTGAGCTTTTATACTCTAGAGTCCTTTGTGGCAACTGAAAAATGCTCCGTGGTCTCAATTACAGGCAGTACCATTGGGAGGTCATTTGTTAAAAAGCAGATTTCTTTATTAAATTAAATACTAAAGCAAATGATCCAGATAACCTTGGGTTGTTTCCTGCTTCCTTGGAGTTAGCAGTTATTTGAAACTTAAAACTGTAAAGGATGAAAACATTCTAGAAACTGGTCTCGTAGGTGCCCTAAAATGCAGCGGAGAATACTGAATGGCATTGGCAAAGTTTTGGCTTGAGGACAAATGTTTGGGCCCAGTTGTTTTTAGTTTGTATTTGAAATGAGATTGGAGGAGGGAGGGACAGATTATTTGGAAGAGTGAATTCCAAAATAAAATAATCTAAAAAAAAAAATGCTAGCAGGAGGCTGTGACAAAAATTCACTTCCTGTTCATAATCACCAGAGTACTGTGCATTTCTAGGAGCAGTGAGACTACCTACGCTTCCAGAAAACAATTTGCATTCTGTTTAACCCCTCATTGTCCAAATCCTTAAAGAACACCATGTTGCAAAGACTTTGCTTCACTCAGAGGAATTGGATTTCAGTGGCATGCAGTCACGTACTTCTGTGTATTTGTCCTCTCCAGAATGGCTTTACCCCTCTTCATATTGCCTGCAAGAAGAACCGAATTAAAGTAATGGAACTCCTTCTGAAACACGGTGCATCCATCCAAGCCGTAACCGAGGTGAGGGGAGTAGGAGTTTAAGGGTTCCTAAGGCCATATGAGGGTACAGTTCCAGAGCCATCCTTAATGAGCAGCTAGTTTTGCCATGTGTGTGGGTGCCACTGAACCCTCACCCAATGGGCTGCAAGTCCAGAGAACAGACAGGTGGTACAGGGGGATGAGTGCAAACACATCATCCAAAACACCCGCTCCATATGCAGGGGCAAGTGGTGCCATAGCTGAAAGTGTCATTTACATGAAATCCTATAATGCAGTGCTTCTCAAGTGGGGGCAATTTTGCCCCCCAGGGGACATCTGACAATGTCTGGAGGTATTTTTAGTTGTGACAACTGGACAGTACTACTGGTGCCTAGTGGCTAGAGGTCAGCTGCTACTGAATATTTTACAGCATATAGGCCAGCCCTCTACAACAAAGAATTATTTGGCTCAAAATGTCAGATGTGCCAAGGTTGAGAAACTCTGTATAACACCACCTCCTGGGCGTTTGTAAACTGAACATTTCTCGTTCTAAAAATTCAGAATTAATGAAACACAGAGTTGCTAAAGTTGAAAAAGGAGTAGCTCTAGGTTTCTTTTGTACAAACTGGCATGGAACTCAGAGAAATGTTCCTCCAGGATCAGTGCTGGGCCTGCAACACAGCAAACCAAGCTTGACATCAGCCACTCCAGACTCTCTAACTCTACCCCACCCCAGCACTCTGTTCTCCATAAATTCCAGGCACAGCACTTCCCTAGACTGGACATCCTTTCATTCACCTCCCAATCTCTGTACTGTCCATACGTCACCCCCTTTTGGCTCAGCTAATCCTACACATCCTTCAGGATGGGATATGGGGCTATCTTCTCCCAGAAATCCTTTACCACCTGGCCTGGTCTAGGAGCTCCTCCTCAGAGTACCTTCTTTCTGTGCCAATTTCCATCAAACCACTTATCCAGCCGGTTTACTTATGACCGAGAGTCATAAGGCCTCACCTGCCCCCAGAAAGGACAGGCCCTGTTACGGCAGGCCTGAGTCTTACTGGTCTGTAGATGCCAGCAACACAGTGTAGGCCATTCAGTAAAGGCTTGTTGAATGCATCAATAAAGCATTTGAAGTAAATATAAAATGTGAGATCTAGCCCAGTGACTATTGTTGTGCCCCAGTTTCTTATCTGCAAATGAAATATTTGCCTTGATTTGTAATGCGGTTTTAAAAGTATTAAATGGTTGAAAATATTCATACTGATTTGCTCTTTAGTCACTCTTACGGCTTTATTATGGCACCTATTATTTTAAAACCTTATTCTCGGTGCATGGCAACCGTTTTTAAAGGTCAGAATGGGCTCTGAAATAAATTTTTTTTGACTGACGTTTGACTAAATATCCCAAGATGTCAGCCACTGAGAAGAGGCCACTGCCAGCCCTGTGCTCCCTCAGAGCTTTCAGAGGCCGGTGGATCAAGACGAGGACTTGGCCCTGCACACGTTCTAATGACTCCCCCTGCTGATGGAAAAAAAAGTGCCAAATTACAATACAGTTCTTTTCCCCAATTTTCCTCAATTCCCACTATTTGAAAACGGGTCAACAAGAATTCTTTCTTTTCTGCCTTTTACCTCACTTTTATTTGGCCGAACTCCTTTCACGTATTTTTTTTTTTTTTTGGACATTTCTCAAATTTCTGTTGAGATTAGTATCTCCTTCTCACTCTCTTAAACACACACACACACACACACCCATATTAGCTTTTTCTAGCCATATTAAGTATTTTTACCAAATTATGATGTTCATGCTGCAAGTGGAATGAAATTCTAAAAAATTATAAATGGCATCATTTCACATAAAAATCACAAGTATATGGGTGTGTGTGTGTGTAGGATTTGAGACAAACAGAACATTTAAAATCTAGTCTAGCAACCATTGTATTATTTGCCATAATCATGTCACTTTAATTTATAATATTCATCAAGTTAAAAATTAAATGATTAAAGCTATTAATGCTGATTTGCTCATTTATTAGAAGGTTGGCCTTGTGTTAAGTACCATGCTCTTTCATGTATAATGTAATCAGTTGATTCTTAGTGCATGTGAATCATCTTTAAAGACCAAATTAGGATCTGAAATAAAGTCAACTTTTGTGCACGTGTATGTAATCACATGCATATTCCCCCCCCCCGCCCCCCCCGCCAAACACACACACACACACATAGTTATATGGATAAAGAAGCTTTGGTAGCAAAGGGGAAGAAAGCTTCAAGTCATTTTTTCTCTAATTTTTCTCATTGATCTTTATAAAATATATGAAATCTTTCTTCCTTAGTGGATATGACATAATCACTGAACCTGCTTTAAGGAAATGATGATTATGTACTGATACATTTATCTTATAGAATCTGTGGCCATAGTAGGCAATGGCCTGATAGCTTCTGATCTGATTACTCCATTGGTTATGTTATTAAGGTGTGTGGGTGGGTAGATAAATGGATGGATGGGTGGGTGGATGGGTGGAACACAGGCAGGGAGGCTGGTGGACAAAACCTTTTTATGATAAGATCACAATCTAACACGTTGCTCTTTTCTTCCTAGTCGGGCCTTACCCCAATCCATGTTGCTGCCTTCATGGGGCATGTAAATATCGTATCACAATTAATGCATCATGGAGCCTCACCAAACACCACCAATGTGGTAAGTACCCTTTTAAGAAAGAAGGTCCAATTATGAGTAAGACATAATTTAAGACACTGATGAAGATTACTCTTATTTACTTATTTTTTATTATAATTAAATTAATTACTATTTACTGTGACTGCTTAAAAGGATAAAATTTTAGAATAACAGTGGTTTCCTTTACTTCAAAGGCAAGATCCATTTAATCACTAGCTGGTCACAAATTGTTAGGACTTAGGGTTGTGTGCATTGACCTCACAGATATGTTACTTTGGGGTATTATACTCTTAAAAAATCACCTTTGTGGAGGGGAAGTTTTCTTTTTTTTTCTTTTTTTTCTTTTCTTTTCTTTTTTTTTTTTTTTTTTTACAATAGAAGCATTTAAGAAATATTTCACATTGAGGCTCAAAATTATCATTACTGTAATTTCAAGTAAATTCAAAGTAATTTTTCTCTTTACTATGCTTAACCATGTTCATAGCAAATCCCTATTCATAGATTATTGGATGGTATTATTTTCCCACTCTAATCATTGCTCTACAGAACCATGAGACTCTTATCAGAGTAAGTATTGAAGAAGCGACTTATCACCCTAGATCTACACATGGCATTTGACATTATTTTATAGGACTTTAAGTTTGACATCATAGTAATATTAGTATAACAGATCACAAGCAGAAGAACAAGCAGGTAGGCCTGGGACTCAGGACCACCAAAGCAGTAAAAGTCAAATGAACCATATCCTGGCACAGAAAGAGCAAGCCATAAGGTCCTGCACATTCACCCTGTGAGTGGGCCTCAGTAAGGCTCTCTTCTGGGATCCCCAATCAACACAACCACAAGAGAGGAACAGGCCAGCTTCTCAACTGACACATAACCTTTTCTGTTACTAATGCCAGAGAGAGAATATCTCCCTTCATAAAGAGAACCCTGGATAATATGGTAAACTATACCCCAATGCCTTTCCAGTAAACATAGTTAACAAGTTACATGTGAAATGTGTCTTTGTATATCCTTCCATGGAGGCAGATATCCTGTAAAGCAAGGTTTTATTCATTAAAGGAATTTTTAGGTGGGTATCACTTGTGTGAGAGAATATATTTTATTTCTATGACTTTTTGTTTCCATCTCCCCATGTTTTCTGTTGTTTCCATTTTTTATTAAATCAATGAATGGAAATCTGAATTAAATTCTCTGGTGAAAATGAAGGCATGGTCAGGGTGGAGGAGTCCAGTGACAAAGGAAATGGCTCCATGGGAGACTGTCCAAAGACCGGGATACTAGTCTGCTGAAGTAAAGCAGAGAGTGCAAACCAGCATCCACCAGCCAACTCTGGACCTCAGGGGTATCTACGTTGCCCTTGCAGATTTGGGTTTTTATATTTTGTTCTCGTTGCAATTTGGATTGTGTGGTCCAGGTATAAGAAGTATACACAAATATCCAAACTGCCACTGCTTTTGAAAACTACAAAGGTGTGCCAAGACATGGCTGGCATCCTGCCCAGCTACCGAAGCAGTCTTCAGTATCAGGTGGCTGTGGCCTCCCTTGAGCAAGGTGTGGGGCTCTCTCGTGGAGCACTCCCCAGCTGCCCTCCTCCGCTCATTTCCTCTCCTGCTTGGCTCTCAGGGGATTCACCTTTCAAGCCCTGGGAACCCTGCCACATGGAGCAACACTTCTGATGTTGCCAGAGACTGGACTCCCCAGTGTTAAACCAGTTCTTCCATCATGAATCTGGTGGATGTGAGCTTCTTGTGTTTTGAATTTCCTATCTTTCCTCGTTTTCAACAAGGAAATGCTTAGGACTATTTTTTACTTAAAAAAAAAAAGCCCTCCATCACAAGCTTTATGCAAATAAAACATGCCACCCTTCTTTAGAGCTGCCGTTAATTACCTTTGGCTCCTGTTCCCCAGAGAGGAGAAACAGCACTGCACATGGCAGCTCGATCTGGCCAAGCCGAAGTCGTGAGGTACCTGGTACAAGACGGAGCTCAGGTAGAAGCGAAAGCCAAGGTATGTGCAACACATGAAAGCATGTGCTATTGAGGAAAAAACCCTTGGTTTTATTAGAACTTTTAAACACATGCATGTTCTCTTGCAGGGATACTTTTATAAAGTAATGACAAAAATCTCTATCCATGTGATATTGTAAAAAAAAAAAAAATCCCTACACATTTGTCCATTCAATTATTTTACAAAATTAAATGGAACAAGAACTTAGTTCCAGAAAGAACTCTGTGTACTTGGCATATTGCTAGCCCCCTAACAGAATTGGAGCCAAACCTAGCCTTGGTCCAGAGTTCTTCACACTCCATAGAGAAGGTCTTAGACACAAAGCTTCTAGAAGTAGCGTAATTCAGATGTATGATTCAACTCTTTTGGTTGACTTACGTGTCATTTGTCACAGCCATAAAAGGTAAAAGGAACTCTACTTTTTCTTCACAAGTTGTGAAGCCCTGAGAGTTGAACTGGAATGGTTTCAGGGATTTACCTTCACTTAGAGTTGGAGTGCTCCATCCTCTGCCTGGTATTTAGCTTCTGGAAGAAACCCACTTATCTGTCACTATTGAGATGGGTAGTTGGTGGTCTAGTTATCAAAATGGCAATTCAGGTCAGGAATCGTAAATAGATATGTAAATGCCTTAACCATGTAATCTAACCTTCATATATAAATATACATTTACTTGCCATCTATTTACATGGACTGCAATTTCTAGCTTCAGGTAGAGAGAAAGCAAGACATGTAAGAAGCAGTTTGCATGCAAATCATTTCTGGACTTTTATAATATTCCCCCAACATATTTAGCTGTCTCACCCAGATCTAATTTGACCACAATTGTTTTATTTTTTTATCAACTTTTATCAAAGCTCTCCAAAGCTTTCAACTTAGTATTCTTAGGGAAAAATTAAGCCTTCCCTTTAATACTCATATTTTACCTGCTAACATATTGTGTGATTGTACAATTAAAGTAATGAGTGTGAATATAGCACAAAGTAGTAATGTAACTAGTACAAACATACTAATGTGGAAACAAACACAACTAGATCATAGTGAGCATAAAATCTGCAGATGAGCACAAAGGTTGTACCATTCTGAGCAGCAGACACACACTTGGAGTGTCCACTGTACTGTGGGGCCAGTTGGTGCATTTTACAGAGAATTTTGGAGACTGAGGTCAGCAAACTTTCCCTGAATAGAGCCTGAGAGTAAATATTTTAAGGCTTTGCCAGACACACCATCTCTGTCACAGCTGCTCAGCTCTGATGTTCTGGAGCAAAAGCAGCCATAGACAATACTACATAAGCAAGTGGGCACGTCTGTGTTCCAATAAATCTTTATTTACAAACTCCAGCAGCAACAGGATTTGACCCCTGGATTGCACCTTTCTCATTTCTGATCTAAAGATCTTGGTTCAATCTGCTTAATCAGTAGAGTAGAATGGATTAGAAAGGCTGTACCCAACCATGGATTACAGGAAACCTCACATTTTCTGAGTGTTGTTAGTTACACATCAAGCCTTGTATCAAAGGAATGGTTTCACCCATAAGCTGAAATGGAGAGCTGCCTTTCATACTTTTCATACTAATAGGTAACTCAAAGGTGTTTACAGTGCTCTGATCCACCATCTCCATCTTTCTGAACATTAAAGATAAATGAGATGGCTTGACTCCAAGAGTTGAATGTAGCCTCTGATACCAAGCCAATTTTGCTGAATATCTCACACTGTCACCATTATTTTCTCAGCTAGTCAGCCTTGTATTTCTACCTTGCCATTTAGGATGACCAAACCCCACTCCACATTTCTGCCCGACTGGGGAAGGCAGATATAGTACAACAGCTGTTGCAGCAAGGAGCATCTCCAAATGCAGCCACGACTTCTGGGTACACCCCACTCCACCTTTCGGCCCGAGAGGGACATGAGGATGTAGCTGCATTCCTTTTGGATCATGGCGCATCTCTATCTATAACAACAAAGGTATGGAAGTGATTCTTGGAATTCTTCTGTGTTTCCCTAAATTCCATCCTCCTTATAACTCCCAGCATGGCAATAGGTACAAAGCTATATAACAACATCGATACTTGAGATCCCAGGGTAGTCATGAACATGGTCAACAAAGTCTTGGTGGTGGTGGGGAACAGTGTAACTCTGGGTATGTGTGTTTGTCTTGAGTTTCTCAGTCCATTATCTTCTAATGAAGCATAATTGACATCTAGAGTCAGATGTTTCTTGCACATTATATGATAGATTTAAATGGTGGTTTAAAAACATAGCCATAGATCTCTCTTGCTGAGTCCAAGTATAAAAATTACTTTCAAATCAGGAGGTGAATTTTTCTTGGGTTATTTTTGTTTGTTGTTATTCCTATGTTTCTGTTGTCTTGTATAATTTTTAAAATCTCAACTCTGATGCCTTAGAGCCATTACCAACCACTCAGTTGCTCTGTAGGTGCAGATTGCAAAATTTAGAGCTCACCTTTTGGTGTTACTATGTACACCTAGCAAATGTGATAGAAAGGTGAATTGGCCTATGACATGTCTTAGAAAGTAGAAATGGGTGTTTCACTCTCTTATTTGGGTGTAGAGAAGTGTGATCAATGCACAAGGCAATTACAATAGTTGGAAATACTTGGGAAACTATCTGAATAAATGATCATGACTGCCTCAACTCCCACCCACTGCCCTGAGATTCTTTAGGCTCTTCAGCAGAGTTAAGATGCACAGTCTCTCATTTAATATGTGAAACAGAGTAATAGCTGATGAGGTTTTGAGTGTCCTAGCCCTTCCACCATACCAGCTGCCCATTAACTCTAATTGGCTTTAGTCTCATGAGGCCAAATGTACTGATGACCCTTCCACTGCTGACTCATGCTTAGGACCCTCCATAATAGTATATAGTGCATGCCTGGACCCTTGTGGGAGTAGGTAGCAAGCGAGAGCAGCTACTCAACTCTGAATGCCCAACTCTTGCATATTCATTGGGCTAGGATCATGTTTATTCAGTTCACCTGTGGTAGCTAAGATGAGAGACTCTTTGACTCCCACCCCTGAGGATGGGAACATGCATAAAGATATGTATATACACACAAAAATTGGAGAAGAGGGTGAGAAAGGCTCCAGTCTGGTGATACAAGATTATGGAGGGTCCAGACTTTTCTGGATTTTCCCAAGTTCTCCAAATCCAAATTGGGCCTGAGACCTAGTAGGCTATTCTTCCTAAAATGTGAAATCCCAAGATAGCTCTAGGATAAACCCCAGATTCAGCTCTCCACCTTCATCCTGGCCTGAGTAGCCCCAGAATTTGTGGCATGTTGTGGCTCAGTCAACAGAGAGAGAGTAAATATTCTGCTCCTCCTTATTGATAAGGAGACTCGAGCTGGTCTCTTCCAGTGTTTGTCCTTAAATGCAGGCTTAACTGTTCCTCATCATTAGAATAAGTCATCAGTTTCAGGAAAGTGATGCCTTTGTATCATTTGTTGTTCATTATTTTTATGTTTCTTTATTCAGAAAGGATTTACTCCCCTTCACGTGGCAGCAAAATACGGGAAGCTAGAAGTAGCTAATCTCCTGCTACAGAAAAGTGCCTCTCCAGATGCTGCTGGGAAGGTATGGAGCTGACCACCCTATAGCAGGCCACTTCCACGGTAACAAAACAAGCACTTGATACTTCACCAGCAGCCATCTAAATTATCACTAGTCCAGAATTAAGTCTCATAGGATGAAGATCACTTGGGAGATAGGAGGTGAATGCTGGGGTCCAAGCATTGTGGAAACTGGAATATAGATTATACTCTGTGTTGAACCCAAACTAATCCCATCTCCTAAATCTAGGCCTCTGGTGTTAAGACACTTTTGACTCTGGTTGTTGTTTCTGCACGTGTTTTCAGAGCGGGCTAACTCCACTGCATGTAGCTGCACATTACGATAATCAGAAAGTGGCCCTCCTGCTTTTGGACCAAGGAGCCTCACCTCACGCGGCCGCAAAGGTACCTGGGATTGGCCAGCCTGGGGAGGCTGACGGGCAGTGTCCACCGATCTCTGTGTGCACTCACTTGGCTGCTCACGTTGCACCTCAGACACCACCAGTCACGGAAATCCAAGCTCCTCGGGAAATCTGTGCCCTCGGCTATTCGGTCAAGTGGTGTAGTAGATGCTCAATAAATCCTCACTTGCCAGTTGATTCTCCTTAAAAATCCAGGACTTCCTGGGGCCCATGGAGGAAAAGAAGTTGATGTCCTATTCAGCCCGATTTAAAACATAAGCACAGCCTGAGGTAGTAAGGAAGTCAGATTTGTCACAGTTATAAAACATGTGTTATATTTTCCTGGCCATAAAACATTGCCTTCAAGTCGTTTATTTCTGCTCAATAAAGTAGGTTGGGAGGTTTTATTTATATGATTTTATTATTCCTAAGAGGAATCTTTATTCCTCTTGTTGGGGCATTTTTGAACAGTAGACAACCCACATTTATTTCTGAGAAAAGAGATACGTAGAGTATACAGCTTCCTAATTATCCTGGTGTTCTGATTTGTGAGGCACTCCATAAAGACGAGCTTACTTTTAGGACACTTGCTGTTGTTGAGCAGGTGGCTATGATCTAAGAAAACTGGAATGATACAAACTACAACTGAATGCTGTCCAGTGCTTTTACTGAATACTGTTGTTGAAGGAACTTTTAGCACTTTTGAGCTTTCTACATCTTTGTGGTTTTCTTACTCTCCCATTTGGAAGCAGCTATAGCACTTAACATTAGTGTTTACATTAAATCTGTTGTAATCAAATCTGAGCAGGCTGTTCTAGATTATTTGGAGACCTTAAGAGAAAAAGTTTTTAGGAATCTTCTTTTAGAGAGTAGGTTATCTTTGACAAGTATTTCTCCTCAGAGCCTCTTTTCCTATATGTCTTAATTATCTCCTGCCTCATCCTCTCCAGAATTATACCAGTGAAATCTGTAATTCAGAATCATACCCCTAAATTTGCTTTTCATTTAAATGTGGCTCTCTCCTCATAGTTTCTGGTCCTGGTGAACATTTTTTTTCTATTATAAAGCCATACCTGACTTTTGGTAAAGCTTTATATTTAAACAACAACAACACAAAAATTTGAATAGCAGCATTATTCCCAAGAGCCAAAAGGTGGAAGCAACCCAAGTGTCCTCTGAAGAATGAATGGATAAATAAAATGTGGTGTATACATACAACGGCGTATTATTCAGCCTGCAGAAGGAAGGAAATTCTGGCACATGCTATCACATGAATGAGCATTGAAGACACCATGCCGAGTAACTAAACCAATTACACAAAAGAACAAATATTGTATTTCAGTCATATAAAGACAGAAAGTAGAATGCTGGTTGCCAGGGGCCCAAGGGTAGGAGGATTGGGATTTCATGTTTAATGGATAGGGTTTCACTTTTAGGCTGGTTGGTGGTAAGGCTGGAGAACAATGTGAAATATACTTAATGCTTGCCATTGACCATGCACTTAAAAATGGTGACAGTGGTAAGTTTTATCTAATGTATATTTTACCACAATTTAAAAAATGGAAAAAAATTACAATGAAATTTAATGATTGTCTATTTCATTTCAGTGTATTTTAATATCCTTCTGAGCCTGGGCCACTTACAGTAAACCCAGGTTCTTGGTAGGCAACCAGTAAATAACAAGCAAACTCTTCATTCCTTACATGAGAGTAATAACTTTGAGACAACTAGTGCCAAGCAGTTTAGGATTGAAAGAGTCATAAAGTAGTAAGTGAAGCAAAATGAGTGCAGTCCACCCTTCCATCCATCCATTCTGTCTTTCAGTCCACGAATAACTGAAATAGGCCAGTAGTTGATGTATTCCTGCTTTATATTTGTCAAACAAGACCTCATGTTTCCATGTCTGCAAGACATCTTTAACAAAGAGTAGAGAAGCAGCCCTTTAGTCTCAGGCGTAGCTTTTACAGCCAATCAGACACAGGCTTTTCTAACGAAATGTTAATTCTTGCTGCCACAGCATCCTTGCTTAGTAGGAGCCTCAGTCATGCCATCTGTGCCACATGTCCAATCATCCCCACTTTCTGGGGCAGTGAACCACATCAGGAGCTTCTTCTAGACTTTGATCCTAAGCAAAGCCATTTCATCAATTAGAGATTGGCTTCATCTACTAGAAAACACCTAGCTACAGTTTAAGCTGATGAGGCTCCATTTTTCTCATGTTATAAACAATCTGGAGGTGGGCAGTTGCTGGTGTTGGGTCAGTGTTTCCAGAGTGTTAAGGGAAGATCTATGTGTATTTTTTTTAACCTTCCTTTGAGAGATTGCTGTTGCTCAGACTGCCAGGCCCTCTTTTTAAGCAACCAGCAGGAAAGAAAGTCAGACAATAGGGCATTTCCAGAAGCTCCACCTACCCATTTCTCCTTACATCTCAACGGCCACTCCTTCCTGCAAAGGAAGCTAGGAAGTGTAGTTTTCAGTGGGGCCCAATGCCAAGGCTCTTTTATTAAGGAAGGAGGGAGAATGGATATAGCATAGGCAAATAGCCTCCTGGGTCCCAGGGAAGCTTTGGCATTTCTGAAAAATGAGTGACAGAGCCTCAGTAAGGCACGATTTGAGCATGTGGCTATGACGTCAGTGGCTTCAGTGAACTCTTCCTCTATTCTTGTGCTCCGTTCTTAGGGTATGTGATGCTTTCTTGCCTTTTCTTCTTTTTTGTAGAATTGTGAACATATCTTCTTACTCATACATGTCTTAGAAACACGGTGTGACTTTGTAATGGGGGAGGAGGAGGGAAGGTGCTGAAAAAGTAGATGGGCTTCTGTAATCCATTTTAGCCAGATCTATTTCCTGAGGCAGGGCCCAGCACTGAAAGGAGGATTGGCGTGAATTCAGGCATAACCTGGGCACTCATAGAAGGGATAATGAGCCTTAACTTGTTACTTATCAGATATCTCTTCCACAAAATATGCAATGTATCTATTGATACTGAGATTGTGAAATTTCTTAGAAAAAATATAAAGAATGATATAAATATATTACTTTGAGTCATTTAAAATTGCATTTCCTTTTGTTTTCCTCTTGAAATGCAAAAGCACACATGGCTTCTACATCAAGAGGAAAAAAGTATTTAAGATGATTCTGTAGTTGAATCTCTCACTGTTTTGTTTCTCTTCTGATAAATGCATCTGTCCCCTTGAGGGTGACCAGTAAGAATCCAGAAATTAAAAATCACTTAGGGAATTTAGAAAATTTCTTATAGGTCTCAAGTTGAACTATTTGTTTGTTATTTGAAATATGTTTTAAGTGTTTCTGAGATGAACTTCCCATTCTAAAATAATACCATGAATTGTTTTTCCCTTGCTTTATATTTTCCTTCATAGCTCAGAATAAAACCCTCAGTAATAATGAGTAACTTGTCTGAAATCAGCATGCTTTACAGAGATACCAAAGCTTCTCCTGATTAGTGTTCTTTAGGGCCTAGGATTTTTGGGTAGAATTAAAAGTGATCAAGAGGATTGTCACCTCAGAGAGGACATTGACCTGTCTTCGGTAGTTGAAAGGTGACTAATGTGAAGGTTATGTCTATAGCAAAAGCAAAAAGAAATAAGATGCATGGTAAGAAGCTAAACTCAGACTATCATTCTGTTACCACTCTGATTAGCCAGTGTTAGACATATCAACTAATCAGATGTCCTATTTTAGCACTGTTTTGTGAATTTTGTCTTTTATGCAGGGTGGGGATGGGAGCAAAACAGACCTCCTCCTCCTGTCACTTGCTGTAGAGTTGGGCTCAGTCCAAAGCTCTACATTTGGCTCTGAAGGCAGTCTCTTTAGGGTGTGTCTTTGCAGAGGGACAAATGCTTCCCAGGTCAGCTGGGGTTTCCAGATGGCAATAGGTCAAAACTAAAAATAGAGATGTAAAATCTTCTACCCTGGTCCATCCCATTAGGCAGAGGGTGGTTTCAGAAGAGTCTGGAAGCAGCATTTCCACTTGTGTGGGGTGATATCCAACAGCTTAAATCCTCTACAATTGATTATAGGAAGAGTGTCTGTCAGGTGAGACACACTGTCCTACTAGGACATGCCGGTGACTTAAAATATGAGGGTTGATTGCAGTAGGCTGGCCTAGCAGTGGTGCAACAGTCCCCACTGTTATCTGTGTTGATTCTGACCCATCTGTACTGCTTGGAAATATTGTGTCTGGTAGTTGTCTAGATTTGGATCATTTTTCCAAATATAAATCCATGAATTCTATTTTTTTCTCTATGTCTTCTTTTCCATCAAAAATCATTCCAATTTTTCATTGGCATATTTTATATAGTCAGATTCATGCCCAAGTCAAAGTATAATCTTGTGTTTCTTTTAAATGACTGTAAGACAGGACAAGGTCCCCTACCTAGCACAAGAGACCTTTCTTTCTCAGGGCAAAGGACTTTGAAGGATCCTGAGGCACAGCTAAATTAACAACTCACCAGAGAAATTTGGGTCACCTCTAACCTTGAGCACCAAGAGTCAACCAAGATGAGGATCCCAGAATGTTCTGAAAGTTCTAGTAAGCCTGACTCAAATTCCAAAGATTCTCCAGTCACCATGAGGCACTAGTAGAGATACAAGGACAGATAGGACACAATACCTGCTCTCAACTAATTTGTATTTTAGTAGGAGAAAATCAGTGTGGAAAGGAAAGAGCACCACTAAATATCCCCAGGACTTTGATTAATCAGTCAGGTCGGGGTAGGTATAGGAGAAGGAGGAGGTGAAATATTTCATGAGAATATGACCCTTGAACTGAAACTTCAGCTGGAAGATGCTGACCCCAAGGACATGGTGGGGAAAAAACATTCTTGATAGAGGGAGGCAAAACAGAAACATGAGCTGTTCGGCTGAAGCATAACATAGATACTAGGGTTTTGTAAAAGAGGCAAAGGGGATGTGAGAGGAGGACACCTGGGTGGTCCAGTCAGTTAAGCATCCAACTCTCGATCTCAGCTCAGGCTTTGATCTCCGGGTTGTGAGTTCAAGCCCTGTACGGGGAGCCTACTTAAAAAGAAATAATGACAATAAAACAAAAGGGCTATGAGAATAGACTATAACATCTTGACTACCATGAACATTAAATTTTTCGACTTGTTAGCAACCAAGAACCATTAAAGGTACCTTAAAGGTAGAATAATAGCTCTGGACACACCCATATTGTTTGTGTTTCCTACTTGGGCTTCCTCTCATTACCAATTTAAATAAAGCAAGTAGTTATTGAGCACCTACTAACATATCTACCTGTAGGAAAGAACTCCATATTCCTTTCAAAACCAGCAGTACTCCAATTCTCATGCGTTAAACTGTCCATAGTCTGTTTCCCCAGCTTCGGAATGTGGGAACCATGAGAGCAGTGCAGTAATGACATAGCCTGATTTATCAGTTTGCTTATGTGATTCGGAATTTTTAAACCGTCGAAGAAAATCACTAGAAAGGGATGCATACTATTTGAAAGTGCGCTGCACACATTTTTATCTCGTTCCTGGGCATGTGACCAAGTGATTCGTGTTGACAGAATGGTTATACTCCGCTGCACATTGCTGCCAAAAAGAACCAGATGGACATAGCGACGACTCTGCTGGAATATGGTGCTGATGCAAATGCGGTTACCCGGCAAGGAATTGCTTCCGTCCATCTCGCAGCTCAGGAAGGACACGTGGACATGGTGTCACTGCTCCTTGGCAGAAACGCTAATGTGAACCTGAGCAATAAGGTAACCTTTCTTTTTCTCTACAAAACGTACAGCAAAACCTTCCCTCTCACAAAGGTTGCTTAAAAAGCATGAAAAATCCAGGTCAAATCGAATTTGTAAAATATAACATTGCATAAAGATGTTTGCCAAAATGTTGTTTATCATAGCAAAAACTCTGAGAAAACATGTTTAAACAGTAAGAGAATGGTAAATCAATCATTGTAAAGTCTTACAACTGAATGACATATAGCTGGAGAAATGAAGTCCACAAAGTTTTTCAAAATAATACGAAATTGTGTTAATTCAAAGAGCAACACTGTTACCTCACCTGAACCTACCAAATAGTAAGTTGTAAATTGTAGCCCATTGATTTAGTCCGCAAACATTTTGGGGGCACGTCCTCCTTGCCTATCCCCGTTTTAAGTTCGAGGTTACAGATACTGGAAATAGTACTGCCTTCAGAGACTTCATTTTATTAACATGAATCTAAAGTAACTATTTTATTCAAATAGGTTGGAAAGGTTGTTAGTCTTTGTATGTAAATTGGCAGTTTCAAGGAACTTCTGAGGCCTCTGTTCCCCAAATTTTTCAAACTCCTCTGCCTTCATACTTGGCATCCTCACTCTTTTTAAAGAATTTTGTGAAGCAAGGTAAAAATCCAGCCCACAACTGGCCTGAGACACCTTAATGAAGTTACTACCTCTCATTGCATATGGGTTTGCTGAACTGTTTGCCGAGCTGTTTATTAATACCTAAGTTTGAGATTGACTCAAAACACAGATGTTTCTAAGTCTTCCCTTCAGATAATACAAAAGCCTGCAAGAGTGCCCCCAAATTCCTGATAATCCACACTCCCTGGCTTCTTCTTTACCAGTTGGTGATAACACAGCCATAGCTCAGCTATAGGAGTAGAATTTCAAGATAGCAATAGTTTTATGACGACAAATAACAAGTAATGTATTTTTTTTTCATGTATGCGGCCTATGTTTTGGAATAACCAAGGCTTTGAATCTCCTGGGTATGAATCCTAAGCCTGACTCTTACTTGATGTATAACTTTATTGGACAAGTTATGTGACCTCACTGAGCTTCAATTTTGTCCGCTAGTAAACAAAGACAAAATATTTACTTCACAGAGATGCCATCAAGATGAACTAAGATAACATTCAATACTTTCTTCTTAGGTAGAAAAGGAATAGTTGTCTTAATTTTGAACTTCTCACAATTTAGGGAAAAAGTTATTCTGCACGAATCTGAATTCCCAAGATGGTAATTTAATAAATCGTGTGGATGGAAATCATATGTAAGAGAACAGGGAAACTTTCTTTTCAGTTTTAGTATTTTGAAAATCCTTTGTGATAATTGCAGATTTTTCATATTTTCATATTTTCCTGATGTAACAGTTTGATTTTCTCATATCTTTCTTTTTAAACATTCCTTTTAGGAATGCATGTCTCTGCATTCATAGGAATCACAGAGCAATTTTGAATAGCCATTATAATCAGGATTCTTTTTTTTTTTTTTTTTTGAGCTTTTGAGTTTGGAGGGTTCAAAGACTATAATATAGAGACCAGGCTTATGATAATTTGCTATAAAATTCAACTTATCTTAATGAGGTAGAAGACCTGGTTTTCTCAAATTGATGTACATTCTGGCATTCACTGAGTCTATTTTAAGAGCCCAGAATACTACAGCTCACTATTCTCTCAGACACAATAGGGGCCTTAACAATGGTTAATAGGTGAATGTTTTTGGTAGATTCGATACCAAAGTACAATGTGACCTTTTTTTTTTTTTTTTTTCCTTTAAAATCCTCTGGTCAAGAGACGCCTGGGTGGCTCAGTGGTTGAGCGTCTGTCTGCCTTTGGCTCAGAGTGTCATCTCGTGTCCAGAGGTGGAGCCCCACGTCGGGCTCCCTGCGGGGAGCCTACTTCTCCCTCTGCCTGTGTCTCTGCCTCTGTGTGTCTCTCATGAATAAATATTTCTTTTAAAAAATCAAAAATAAAAAAATAAAATCCTCCATTCAACTAGTTGCTATGTATATCCAGCCTTACATTCACCTTAAAGTCATAGAAATTTTTAGACTGAGAATACTTCAGAATTCCTCAGTGTTTGCTTTGGTAGACTGGACATGGGCAAGGGAATTCTAAGGACATGTGACACAGTAAACCAAGGCCACCTGGATGTTGTCAGCCACCTTCCTGAAAAAACTTGACATGAGCAGAGATACTTCCAGGGAAATTTTAAAAAGCAGATCAGCTGGCTTCCCGTTAGCACAGCATACTTGATTAAGTTGCAAGAATTTCACAACACCTAGAAATGGTCTAATATGAAAGCATTTGTAAATCTTTGCTTCCTTTCTCAGTGCCTGTGTTCTGTATAATGCATTAAATAAGCCCTGCTGTGGAAACAGAACAGGAGCAGAACTTCATTGTTCATAGGAGTCCAGACACTTCTCTGCCAGTTTGACTTGGACGGCCCGAGTTTCTAACACCTCCCTGTCCCAACTCCCCACTTAACACTAGATTTTATTTCCTTGCTAAAAATATAAATATTAAAAAGAAAGATTTAGCTTTTGTGAAAACTGATGGTGAACTAAAACACTTCATTGCTTTTGCTTCTTCCTTTTCTTACTCATCGCCAGCAGTTCCTGGTCACTTAAGGAAATGAGACCATAAACCCCCAGAACTATGAAGTGCTAGCATTTGATTTGAGTCATCTTTTGCTTTCAATGTTCCCGCCTTACTGCACAGATTCTGCAGATCATGAGTAGCTCCATTGCTCTGTACCGCTAATAGAATATTAAGCAGGCCTGTTGATGTTCTGAGCTGGTGGTGTTCTCTTGTTTCAAGTTAAGGCCGTTTTTAAAATGAGCCATGGTTCAAACGTTATAAAGGATTAACAGGTGTCTTCTGAAGTCAAAGGGGGCTGTTTTAACCATCACGCTATTTTTAAAAATTTTTTAATGAAAATAGTGAACATAAACATAAGTTTTTCTTTATCCTATTTTACCTAGAGGTGTTTGCTTTTTCTCCTGATTTAATCATTCAGTAGATGATTAAGTGCTAGGTGCCAGACACTGGTTGTATAAAGAATAAAGATACAGTATTTGCCTCAGCAAGCTCACAATGGTTTGAGGAAGACAGACCAGAAAACAATTTCAAGGCAGGATCATGATGCTCTTAATAGAGGTGAGCACATAGAAGGTGTGCACATAAATGTAACAGTGAGCACTTTGAGAGACAAGAGGGCCAGTGAAGCTCAGGGGAGCTGCAAGTGACTCCATGTCACCGGTAGAGTTGGTATCCCATGGGGGCAGCGTGAACAGAGACAGAGGAACGCGAGAAGGTAAGGTACCTGCCAGAAGACATTTCCCAAACTTTGCTGAGAACTGCTCAGTAAAAAAATCTTCATAAGTCTTGAAAAGTCTTTAACTTAGGATAGGTGACCATGACATTTTTATAAAATATTAGGACTAAAAAGATTTATTTCCTCTGAAGTAGAACATGGAGGGGGTAGGGGGACAGGGGACTGAGGAGGCACTTGTCATGATGAGGACCAGGCGATGCATGGAAATGTTGAATCACCATCACGTACACCTGAAACTAATAGAGTGCTGTATGTTAACTAACAGGAAGGAAGGTAAAAACTTAGTAAATCAATAAAGTAGAACATGGGACCTTGTTCTCAGATTGTGTCAGTGTTTGGAGGATGCCACTTTGGACCCTAGCTTATTTTTCTTGGATTTCAACCGAATATATCCGCCCTCCTAGCCATGTTTCCTCTTTCCTCAGTTTGAGTAGGCTTCCTCCAAAATCCTGTAAACAGTATTTAAAAGTCAAGAACAAATGACTCTTCCTGAGTCCTATCATCTGTTTGAGGGAATGGCAACCCCTGATGAAATAATGTTCAGCGTCTAGAGGGCTCTGTGCTCTTGCTACTACTGCTTCTGATTCGCTCCTCTCCTCTGACCTATAGGACAGCTGAGGTTCTCATTGCATGGATGCTAGAGGAAGAGACCAAAGACTTCCAGAGCACAGAGATTAATTTCTGTGCTTATATTAGGGAAAAGAGAACAATCTGAAAGCACTAACACCAAGTTACTTTCTCTCAAATATTGTTCATGAAAAGACACTTTAACAGCTACAGAGGATTTTTAAAGGAGTACAGTCTTGGTGATTTTTCTTGACCATTGAAACAAGCAGGTAGCCTGCGTATTCTGGGGTAGACTCAGCTTCAAATATTCAGTCTCATTAAATACATAATACCATCTAAATGACCTGGAAATTCTCATGAGATTGGATTCCTTTTGAATTTCCCAGCCCATCTTTCTTCCCCAGAAGCAACATGCAGATATATTGATCAGCCTTGGGTATTAATATGTGATGGAGAAAATATTATCATCATATGTTAATTTATCATCATATTTAATTCATAACTACTTTTTCTATTAATTTCTGCTAATGCCAGTGCCAATGGTAACATATTGAAATTTCTTCAAGTTTTACAAAAAAAAAAGTCTCTAGGGTTTTTTGTTTTTTTGGTAAATATTTATTTACTTACTTTTTTGAGTTGACACAGAATGTTACATTAGTTTCACATGTACAACTTAGTGATGTGACAGGTTTATACATTATGCTCTGCTCACCCCAAGTGTAGCTCCCATCTCTGTCCTTTTTTTTTTTTTTTTAATTTTTCTCTCTGTCCTGTCACATGACTATTATGATATCATTGACTCTATTCCCTGTGCTGGGCCATTTATTCCTGTGACTTGTTCATTCCTCAACTGGAAGCCTGTACCTCCCACTCCCCTTCACCCATCTTGCCTGTCCCTCCGTCCCCCTTCCTTCTAGCAGCCATCCGTTGGTTTTCTGTTTTTACAGGCCTGTTACTGCTTTTTGTTTGTTTCTTCATTTAGTTATTTTTTTCTTTGTGGAGATATTTTAAGGCAAATCCCAGACATTATATCATTTTCCTACTACATATTTCAGTGTTCTTTTTTAAAATTAGAGACTTTAAAGAAGTGACATAAAATGATATAATGTCTAGGATTTGCCTTAAAATACTTCCACAAAGAAAAGAATGAACAGGAAGTAGGGCTGGATGAAGCAAATGAGGAAAACCTTCCTAATTGCTGAGTTTGTGATGAGTACACAAGGTTCAGTCCATTCCCTCCACTTCTGAATATGTTTGAAATTTTTAATTAAGCCTACACATAGCAATGTTGTGATGGTGCTAATACGTAAACTTTCCCTATAGTTTTAAACAAGAATTCTAGGCTTCCTGTCCTAGAATTCATAAACTGTTGCTCAAACATGCCTATGTGTGCTACATTCCCTTCTCTAAGATGACTGTACTTTGAATCTTTTGCAGAGTGGCCTGACCCCGCTCCATTTGGCTGCTCAAGAAGACAGAGTGAATGTGGCCGAAGTCCTCGTAAACCAAGGGGCAAATGTGGATGCCCAGACAAAGGTATACAGAAACAGTGTCCCCGTATAAAGCGTCATTTAGTGACTCCTGTATGGAAACAAAAACAATTTGATAGGAGAGGAAGAACAAATTTTATATCATATCTCTTATACATAGTATTTCAAACATATATCTGTGCCAGGGACACCAAAGTCTCCAGTTGTAGTGTCCCAGATGCTTTTATCTTTAGTGGCCTAGGCACTTTATCCCAGCTGCCTACAAGTACCCACCCGTGGTAACACTACTGATCTCCGTTATGACAGATCTGTCTTGCAGGGGCAGAGTGTAAAATCGTGTTTAGCTTTTGTGACTGACTTAACATATACAAAAAAATTTATCAGTGATTTGTGACCTTTAACTTTGTTCAGATGTAGTCTATAAAAAAGGATAAAGTAACTTTTATTCAATTATTTTTCCCTTGCTAAATTCCTTATGGCATGTGTGGTTGCTAGCATCTCTTTCTCTCTCTTGCTCTGGCTCTCACAGACAAATAGTTCTCTTCAAAAAGGAAAAAAAAATACTGATTAACATCCTATAATGCTGCAATTTCAAACTCAGATAAGAAAAACGGCTGTTTTGTGTCTTCATCAGAGATAGGACTTTGCATGAATCTCATTTCTCGAAGCATTTTCTTTATGCGCTTAATTTTGTTACTTCTTCATAGCAAACTTGTTTTATCTACTCTAAAATATAATTCTTGTTTCTTTCTGTGTGTTATACTTTGATGCAAAAATGAATGCTTATTAAATATTGTGAATACAAACATCTCATGTATAATAGAGATTCTGAGGTGCATTGATAACCTACTGAAGTTACTAAAATATATAGAAGTATCACCAGGAAGTAGCCAAGTAAAAAGGTATTCAGACATCAAAATCAGACTGGATTTACCAGATAGGCACAGAAGGAACAGCCCCAAGGAGAATACACGCTTTGGACATTGTCTGGCTCTATGGTTGTAGCTGCTTCCATGCTGTGTTCTATTAAAAAGGAGCTGCCTGAAAGAGATCTGACCAGGCAAGATCCTGTCTGTGTTTTAAACTCTGTGTCAAATTAGTAAAGCAAGTATCATTGTCCCTGGCCAGGGCTGCCCTAGGTGGAACTGAAGAGTAGGCACATTCCCACTCAATTCCCTTTCTGGAGTTTCTGTGCAGTCTCCATGGCCTCTTCGGTAGCCAGCTTACCTAGCAATCCCTTCACTCTATTTCCTTCCCATTATAAAAAATCTCATCATCCTTAGCCTTCAGTGCTTTCCTAGTAGCTAATTATTTAACAGTAAAGGCACTGGTAGCAGCTGAGTGGTTTCTTGTTACTTTCCATTTTGAAAATAAAAGCATTTTTAATTCTGATAAAAGAAGCAGATTAGGGGTGCCTGGGTGGCTCAGTTGGTTGAGCATCTGACTCTTGATTTCAGCTCAGGTCATGATCTCAGGGTCATGGGATCAAGTCCTAAGTCAGGCTCCATGCTGGAACCTGCTTAAGATTATCTCTCTTCCTCTTTCTCTGCCCCTCGATCATGCTCATGCTCTCTCTCTCTCAAAAAAAAAAAAAAAAAAAAAATCAGACTGAATTTAGCTTGTAGTCTTTATTTTATTAATGGCAAATATATTCATCTTGTGTTGTTTCATTTATACACACAAACAGACTTAAACACTTTTTTTGGTTGCTGCTTCCTTTACAGATTAAAAATTCTAGGAGGCATGGACAGGGTCAAGTTTTTCAATATGTTTTTGCCCCTGTGCATCCAAGGCAGACACCGTAATTCAGTCATGAAGTGTGGCACTGATTGTCCAAGGCAGATTGAGAGGCAGGGCATGGTGCTAGGAGCCTTCTTACACAGAAGGGCCCCTGAGCTTAAGGGTCTCCAGCCTCTACCAGGGTTTCTTCCTAACCCAGCCCAACTCAGATCATGGTCAGTAATCAGTTTTGTACTTGGTGTAATATTTATGAAGCATGTTCCCTTTCCTGCCTTTGACAAGTGATGCACTTCAGAAAGCACCTTTGCCTCTTACAAACTCTTTCCCTTTCTTTTTCTTCTCAGCAAAATCATAGCACCCAAAAAAGCTGAGGCTATGATTGTCCCATAGCTGAAAAAAGCAGAAGTGCAGAGAGATGGGTTGTGGGACTTGCTTCCTAAACTTGTGAATAAGAAGTTTATTATATTCTATGAATTGCCAAATTCTTACGGGTAAGGAAGACAGCCCTAAGCAGCCTGCAGGTGTAAAGTGTAGTACCATTTAATTCATTGGCTTGAATTTAAAAATAGTAATCATGAAAACATTGAGAGCTCTTTTCTCTTATGGGGAAAAGAGTAGAATATCCTGGTAACAGCTTTTGCAGCCTTCCTATTGGCTTGCTGACCTTCTACACATCCAACTCTGTATTTGAAGTTCACTGAATCAGTTCAGACTAAATTGTGCTGCTGGCCACACATTTTAATATTCAGTGTGGTTTAGCTGAAATAAAGTCATTCTTTTTCCTTTTTAAAAGGATAATCTCCTGAAGCATTTTATTTAAACCATCCAAAATACACTGATTCTCAACAGTACTGATTAGCAACTTAATAGTTAAATTATATTTCTTTAAATGTGTATAAAATAATGAAAAAATTAAAAAATAAAAAAAATAATGAAAAAAATTATTTGATATTCATTTCACATTCATTCTTAGAGCTCCTACTAGTTGCCACATTCTAAACAGGGTGATATATTCCTTGCCCTCATAGTAGTTATAATCTAGAAAAGAAGATACATGATGGTAAAAATAATAGAATAATATAATAATACCAAAATGTATTGCCCATCTTCTCTGTGTCAGGTATTAAGTGCTTTACCTTTATTAGTTGGTTTAATCCTTACAACTACCCTAGAAGGTAGGTAAAATTGGTGTCCCTGTATTACAGATGAGGAAACTGAAGAACAGAAAGTAGTCACTTGTACAAGGTCACATAGCTAATTAGTACAAAGCCTGACTTTGCCCTCACATATAAATACATAATTTTAGAAACATTGGCATTCACTGAATTATTTTACAAAGGTGGAATGTGTAGAAGGGAGCTCTAGCTGGTTCAGTATCATAGAAACAAGAGGGAAAAAATGGTGGGCATGTCCCAATATGCTGCTAGAAATTTAAGATTTCAGAGGGCCTTTATGGACCAGGCTAAGCAAGTTCAGCTTTTTATCCTGTTTGCATTGGAAAGCCTTGAAAGGTTTTAAACGGAAGACTGGTAAGATCAGGCATCCAGGGGATCCCTGGGTGGTGCAGCGGTTTGGCGCCTGCCTTTGGCACAGGGCGCGATCCTGGAGACCCAGGATCGAATCCCATGTCGGGCTCCTGGTGCATGGAGCCTGCTTCTCCCTCTGCCTATGTCTCTGCCTCTCTCTCTTTCTCTCTCTGTGACTATCATAAGTTAATTAATTAATTAATTAAAGATGTCTTTAAAAAAAAAAAATCAGGCATCCAGCTTAGACAGATCCTAGGAGAAAGTGCAGAGACCGAGTTGGTCAAAGGAGTTTGGAGCAGGGGCAGTTGAAGGCTACAGCTAAGGTCCAGATGGAGAAGAAAGAAGGCTTTCACTTAGGAGCAGATGGGAAATTGATGAACAAGAGAGAAACTTGAGAAATACTTAAAGAAGTGTGAACAATAAGATATGAGGAAAAGTGAGAAATTCAGGAAGAATCTCAGGATGTGACCCCTGTGACTGGGTGATCACAAGCACCATTCAATGAGATTAGAGGAAGCTGGCTGAGGGAGAAGACCAAGGGTTCTGTGTGGGGCACTTGACTACTACCCAGTAAGGTATGGTGCTATGGCTCCAGAGATCAGAAACATCAGCCTGAATACTCCATCTGCACCTATTAGCTCTTCCTTCACAAATACAACCTTTCAGTATTGCCTAGAGGAGAAGACAACTTCTGCTCGTCTTGATGGTATAACTATGCAACAGTGGAAAAAGAGGCAGACACTGCTCAGTTAGCTGAACTGTGATTATTTCTTAGCTATTCCAGAAAGAATAGTTTATCTTTCCAAAATCGATTGCTGCTAATTGGAAAGAATTTTTCAAATCACATCTCTCTGAGCATATTTGTGCAAGGTGCCATTTAATATAAGAATTTTATGGCCCTCAATGAATGGAAGAGCACCGATCTGATTTCTCTAAGAGCAAACTAAATCTTCTCATCCATGCACGTGTTTTTTTTAAATAAAATACTTTATTTTTTAAAGATTTTATTTATTTATTTGAGAGAAGGAGCATGAGTAGGGAGAAGGGTCAGGGGGAGAGGGAGAAGCAGACTCCTCACTGAACAGGGAGCCTGATGTGGGGCTCGATCCCAGGACCCCAAGATCATGACCTGAGCTAAAGGCAGATGCTTATCCACTTGAGCCACCTAAGTGCCCCTTTAATAAACTACTTTAATGCTTGTGGAACAGCAAGAAGATAAATGTCCCTGGTACAACAAACAAGGAAGAGATTAGTAGGAATGAGCTCAGAGATTTAGTGCACAGGGGGTATAGTGAAGGTATATCAGACAGATCCTAATAGCCCATTATAATCACTTAGGGTTTTACTAGGAGTGAGATGGAAAGCTGTGAGGATGAATAGAAACTGTGTATTAAAATACTTAAAATGATTCAATTTCTTTAGAAAATCTACTTAGCACAACAGCCTTTGGAATCTGTTGCATCATTGCTTAGGCACGTTGACAAAAAAAAAAAAAAAACCTGAAAAGCTTCTTAATAGTTATATTTTTAAATTATCTTCTGATTGTTTTTAGCTCTCTAAAAATTAAACCTCTAACCACTAAAGTTGGGAATAATGTCACTTCAGTTAAGCTAATTGTACTAAGAACTGATTGGCGAAAGCTATTTTCATGCCTCCCACACTGAGCAACATTCTGAGTCCTAATGCAGTATCCTGAGTTCCTCAGCATCAAGAAAGAAGCCTGCAAAGTAGGCAAGTCAGTTCAGGTTACCAAAATAGGATCTCCTTCGTCATGCATGGAGCAGCTTCAGGCGTTATAAATCAGACTCATATACACGGTCACGGTGAACTTTATCGGTGGGAGTCTGGGCCACATGGGCACGCTGACAGTTCAGTTTGTGGAAGGGAATCTGACCAGAGTAAGCTCTTGGGCAGCACCTCCCTGGTGCGACATCTTCGCCTTGCACACTCAGCTGTGGTCTGGGCATTCAAATTCAGATGTACCTATTTGCTAGCATGTCTTAGTTTGGGCTGCTCTCACAAGAATACCGTGGAGTGGACAAACTGTCATTTCTTACAGTTCCAAAGGTTGGGAAGGTCAAGGTTAAAGTGCCAGTGGATCCCTCGTCTGGTGAGGGATCTCGTGCTGGTTTGCAGATGGCTATCACATAGCTTCTGGTTATATCTTTACACAGTAGAGGGCAGAGAGGAGAGGCAGGCAGTCTCCTGTCTCTTCCTATAAGGGCACGAATCCCATTCATGAGGGTTCCACTTAATGACCTAATCATCTCCCAAAGGCCCCATCTCCAAATGTCATCACACTGAGGACTGGGGCTCAGCATGTAAATTTGGGGGGACAAACACTCTGTCTATAGTATAGAATCACCATAAAGATACAATAGTGCAAAATACATGAGATACAGACCCTTGACAATACGGACCCCTCCCCACCAAGCACGCTGAGAATGTTTTTAAAACTCAGTCCTCTCCCTTTTGCCAACCTGGTGCTGCCAGTGTCCTCGTAAACAGAATTAATTGTAGATGTTGAAATTGCATGGTAATGTCTGTTACAATGTGGCCATCTGGAAAAGTATCTGGGATATCCTTATTTTAAAAAATAATTATACACACACATATATAATTATATATATGTAAGGTATTTTTCTTGACAGATAGAACCTACAGTTCCTCAGGGGTCAGTGGATATTAATTTGGGAAACAACTTACTGCTTTGTCTAAATCAGTTCTTGTCAAATGATGGGACTCTAGCGAGGAACCAGGAGACTAACTACAGTGTATATACCTGGATCAAGGTCACACTTCTCAGACCTCCTGAACTCCCACCACTCTCTACTGCTTTAGTGTTTCTGGGCTTCCCATCTCTGTCATGCATTCTGATAATCATTTACTGCCTGGAATTATCGTTTAGCCACTTCGTGGTTGTTTTCTACCTCAATTTTATACTTTTAGAGCACATCTGTCCCCAGGACATTCTTTCTGTCCCTTATCAGGAAACCACTGAATCAGTCTGTCCAGGCTATTGACTGTGCCATGTTTCTTTCCTTTCTTGAAAAGTTGGCGTGAGAATAAAATAAGCTGATGCAAGAAAGCACTTTGGGGAGTTCAATAACTATTTACATGTGACATGGTATTATTTTTTATATCTAACACTAGCTCTGAGAAATATCAAGGGCATCTTATATATACATAAGGGGGGGGGAGAATGATGCCAGCTCAAAAAGTCAGGTTAAATAATACTTTTTGCTTCTATTTAGGATAGCTGTTACTGAAAGTATACTTATGAGGTTTCTTTTCTGAAAAAATATCATTACAGATGGGATACACACCTTTACATGTAGGCTGCCACTATGGAAACATCAAGATTGTTAATTTCCTGCTCCAGCATTCTGCAAAAGTTAATGCCAGAACAAAGGTAAACTCTTTTCTCCTTCATATCCACCACCAAAGTCACTGATTTTGTGCCCAAGGAAGTAAGAGTCATTTCTTCCATCTTCCTTCTGCAGAATGGGTATACGCCGTTACATCAAGCAGCTCAACAGGGACACACGCATATAATAAACGTCTTGCTTCAGAACAATGCTTCCCCCAATGAACTCACTGTGGTAAGAGTGAAGGGAGGGAGGGAGGAGGCTAAGAAAAGAGGGGGAGGATGAACCTGGATGCTGGAATCTTCTTACATTTTTCATTGTGCACCAGCGTTGCCACACATTTAGTAGAATTCAGGCCAAAGCACGATAGCTATGCTGTGAGCCATCCAGAGAGAGAGATGTGATTAGTGTTTCACACTTAAAAACTACAAATCCATTGCCACCTAGTAGGAAATCCATTTATAACAAGAAAAACATGTTTGTTCCCTTGATTACTTAGAATGTTAAAAAGCCTCTTGGATTCCATGTGTAGCAGCCAACTCTCTGCTGCGTGAGTGGGAACAGGTTAGGTGGGTTTTGAGCAAGGTATGTCTCTAATGAAAAATGTTTGGTGTATGATAGTGGGTGGGACCAGTGAACCACTCGCCTTCTGTTCAGTAGGGCGAAACTTGTGGAAGCACACAGACACTGAGACCCGGGGAGTGATTACTAATTCCTTGTCCTCGTTTCCCTCTTGCCAGAATGGGAACACTGCCCTAGCCATTGCCCGGAGGCTTGGCTACATCTCTGTGGTCGACACCCTGAAGGTAGTGACTGAAGAAACCATGACCACGACTGTAAGTATTAAATGCAGACCCCATCAGCCTGAGAGCCAGCTCTCAGGCTGTAGATTTTCCAGGGCTCTGGGGAAGTGAACCTACTCCCCTCCACTCATAGACTAAGTGCCATGCTTCCAAATGCTGTCCCTTCATTGCTGGCAACCAGCATCATAGAACTCTCATTTCTGATACTGAGAAACTAAATGCTAAAAATATCTTTTGAAAAGTTGTATTAGTAGCTATAGAGTGTTTTGCTCCCAGATAAAGCTAAATTTATATATTTGTTTTACTATAAAAACATTTTTAAAGGCTTTATTTATTAGAGAGAGAGAGAGAGAGAAAGCACAAGTAAGGGGAGGGGCAGAGGAAGGGGGAGAAGCAGACTCCCCAATGTGGGGCTCAATTCGGGTACCACAGAATCATGACCTGAGCCGAAGGCAGATGCTTAACCAACTGAGCCAGCCAGGCCCCCTGATATAAAAATATTTTTAATGAAATGAAGACAGGAATATTTTCACATCCTCCTTTGGCAGAGTGAGGAAATTGAAGATAAGTTGGTTCTTTAAAATGTTGTAACTCACAAATGGTAATGGATACATTGTTGTTGTTATGGTGAAAAGCATTTTTTTTTTACATTGTTGTAAAAATAAAACATTAGAGGATCAAAATTGACTTTTGCCATCATTCTCACTGCTCTTCCGTTCGCTATTGGAGTTTTCACAGGAAAAACAAAAAATGTTTTGTTAAAATTATAAATAAATCTTCAGCAGAAGGCCTTGTTGCGTCAGATACACTTTTACAAGCTGCAACCTCTAGGATAAGTCATTTCTTATTAGCACCATCTGGAGCCTTTGAACTGCATCAGGATTTGGTAACTTCGGACTTGAGAGCAGATATTGCACCATATCAGAGGCTTATTGGAGTTATTCCTGACTCCATGACTCAACACACATGCCTGAGATTGGCTCCGTACAATGTAAATTTAGGACTCTGGAACACTAGGAATTATCGGCTCTGCCTCCTTTTCTCATCCACCACCTTCCAATGTGAAGGGAGGCAGGGTTAGCATCTGCATACAGTTTGTATACACAGTGCTTCATACCAAAAAAAAAAAAAAAATGGGTTGAGGAATTCTGAGCAACCTGCTGGTTGAATTATTTGGCAATGCACAGGCTTTAAAAACTAAAAAAAAAAAAAAAAAAAAAAAAAAAAAAAGAAAAGAGCCTGCTGATCACAAGAGAGAAATTATTCAATTTGCAAAAAAAGAAAGCAGTAGCTTTAATGAACTAGAGCAATGGTTATCAACCAGGGCATGTTAATTACTACATATTGCTTTTATATACCTCCTGAGTATTTCATGATTTTAAAATCTGTTATTAAATTCTTGAGAAAAGAGTTTAAACAAATAGTGTTTATTAACCTTAATGTTATAGATATTCCATTTAGCACTCTCTAGAAAAAAAGAGGGAGAAGGATAAGGTATTAAACAATGATCAAGTGTCACAATGCAGATTTGAAATCACTGCAATAAATATATAAAACTTCTTTTTCAGTGTTAGAGAATTGAAACCGATGTATCGTTCAAAATCTAAATCTTGCTTATTGAATGTAAATGACTTACTCACTCATTGAGAAAGCTCAAAATATTTCTTAAAAACCAAAAGTCCTTGAGGAAGGGGACCTGGCTGGCTCAGTAGGTAGAGGATGTGACTCTTGATCTCAAGGTTGTGCGTTCAGAATCCACATGGGATGTAGAGATTACTTAAAAATTAAATCTTAAAAAAAGCTTGAGGAGAAAAATAAAGACAGAGAAAGTAAAGTTACAGCCTGAGAATGGTTTCAAGGCTCTGGTTCAAGTGAAAGACAGACAGTGTATGGGAGTCAGGCCATATTCCTCAGTGCCATCCGCTGAGTTGGCAGGTGATTCCTGCAAGAGAGAGAAGACAGGACCCATGCTAACAGGAAAGATCTAGTTTGCCTAAGGAAGTAAATGAGGCTTCCACCAAATGAAGAGCTCACATAGGTTAGGAAAGAGCCCATTGAAGTCCCGAAGACTTATTCCAGCATTGTGGTATTTGAGACTGTATTCCAAGCTGAGACACCACTGTGCCAGGTCTGCTTTTGCAGTGAAATGTAAGTGAAATGTAACCTGGCACAGATGAGAACCTACACAGTTTAGGGTGGTGATCTTAAGCTCTTTAAACATGGTGCAGCCTCCACCGCAGGCAGGTCTTTGCATGGCCACCTGCTGGAGCCCCAGCAGCCTTTGACTCCATCAGGAGATGTCAGTTTTTCAAAAACTTTAAATAGACGATTCATCTTCCCTATGAGTACAATCTATGACCTGGCAACTCTGAGAAAGATGCTTGAGTTAATGACCTTACCAATCTGGCCAAGTGGGGAACCAAGGAGCTAGAAGTTGACACTCAGACAAAGAATCAAGCATTTGAATTGCCTCATGTAAAATATTCCGTTTCCTCAATGGCAAAGAACAGAGGACATCTATCTCTCAGGTACTGTCTTCTAAAAGAGAGGGAATCAGGGCTACTTCGAGAATAGCTGAATCTAGATCTGGGGAAGGAAATATACGAGATGAGCGTCATCTAGTGCCAAAAAGTAAGAAGGTGTCTCCCTCCCCAAGTAAGTAAATAAACATGCATATACACAATTATGGAGCTGTTTAAAGGGACACAGCAGTCAACTGAAAGAGTTCCCAGTGGCCAAAGGTGTAACAATTTTAGATAGATAGATGATAGATAGATAGATAGATAGATAGATAGATAGATAGATAGATAGAATTGAGTATAATGCAAAGCATAAAATAAATATCCATGAGTCCATACTAATATAGATAAATGACTGAATAAATAGGAAAGAAGGGGCAAACCAGGCAAAAAAATCCCAAACAATATATGAAAACACTTCACCCTCAAGGAGGTATGGAACATAATTCCCTACTGCTTAAGTGTGGGTTGAGTATGACTTCCCTGCAAAGAATAAAGTATGGAAAGGGGCACAGGGGACATAGGTACCATGGAGATACCTGATAAACACTGGCTTGGCAAGGAGAATAAGGCCAACATCAACACGAGTAAATCATGTTGATAGTGTGTACCCTTAATACTGTATGATGAGGGCAGCCTGGGTGGCTCAGCAGTTTAGTGCCACCTTCAGCCCAGGGTGTGATCCTGGAGTCCTGGGATCGAGTCCCCCGTCAGGCTCCCTGCATGACACCTGCTCTCTCTCTCTGCCTGTATCTGTGCCTCTCTCTCTCTCTCTCTCTCTCTCTCTCTCTCTCTGTGTGTGTGTGTGTGTGTGTGTGTGTCATGCATAAATAAATAAATAAAATCTTTAAAAAAATACTGTATGATGGAAAGAGCACTTGACCTCTGTGGTCTTCCTCCCCAAAACTTGCAACCCTAATCCTGAGAAACACATGAGACAAATCCTACTGAGGGACATTCTACAAAATACCTGACCAGTTCACTTTTAAACCATGAAGGTCGTTAGAAGGAAGGAAAGTCTAAGAAACTGTCACAGCCATAGGGGCCTACGGGGGCATGACAGGTAAAGAGACTGTGGTGTCCTGGATGGGTTCCTGGAACAGAAAAGGGATATTTGGTAAAAATTAAGGAAATCTGAATAAAATACAGGCTTATTTAATAGTAATATGTGAGTATTGGTTCGTTAATTATGACAAATGTACCATAGTTTCAACAACCTAGCTTTTTTTAGTTGCCTTACTTAAGTATGTATCCTTCCTTGTACCATTAGCCTTTCATATGCTTAGAATAAGAAGAGGACTTCTTTTAAGTCTAAAACACTAAGTCATTAATGTTTTTAACAAGCTCTCAGTGTCCTTTGGATGGATACAATCTATATAGATAAAAAAGTCATCCAAGAGCAAATAAAAAATTCACTAAGTCCTTGGCTCTATAATACACAGTTCTTTAAAATTGTGTGGAGGTGAAAATGATCTTGCAAATGCATGATCTCTAAAATATTTTCTGCATGGCATACTTGTAAAAATTATATGATTTATGCAATCTTTTTTTTAAATTTTTATTTATTTATGATAGTCACAGAGAGAGAGAGAGAGAGAGAGAGAGAGAGAGAGAGGCAGAGACATAGGCAGAGGGAGAAGCAGGCTCCATGCACCGGGAGCCCGACGTGGGACTCGATCCCGGGTCTCCAGGATCGCGCCCTGGGCCAAAGGCAGGCGCTAAACCGCTGTGCCACCCAGGGTTCCCTGATTTATGCAATCTTAATATTTTATATTTCTCCTAGGAATTAAAATGTATACATAGAAGGGGAAGACAAAATCCATCGCTAGCTTGTGCAAGCAATAGAGACACAATGCTTAGTGATCTTCAGCCAAGACTTTTAGTGGAATGAGGTAGCAGGTTCATCAGACCATGAAAAAGTATGACAATAGACTAGGAGAGGCAATATCTCTCTTGTCTTTTCCTTTGAAAAGTCTTATTAGGGACCTAAATCTTTTAAGCTGATTTGCTTTGCCACTAGAATTCTTTTAACTTATATTTGTTCTTAGCAGTATATATGGTGAAGTCCCTTAATGCTAAGGGACAATTTTGATGTCATTTTATATGGAGGAGCCTCAAGATACTCAGCACATCAGTCCCATAATATATCAAATGATTAATTTAGAAAGAAATGAATAGTCTCATTAAAATGTTCAGTCTGGGGATCCCTGGGTGGTGCAGCGGTTTGGCGCCTGCCTTTGGCTCAGGGCGCAATCCTGGAGACCCGGGATCGAGTCCCACGTCGGGCTCCCGGTGCATGGAGCCTGCTTCTCCCTCTGCCTGTGTCTCTGCCTCTCTCTCTCTCTCTCTCTCTGTGTGACTATCATAAACAAATAAAAAAAAATTTAAAATGTTCAGTCTGCTTACACTAGGTGACTGCTCTTTTTGTTGTTGTTATTAGACTATCATAGAGAAGCACAAAATGAATGTTCCAGAAACGATGAATGAAGTTCTTGATATGTCTGACGATGAAGGTATGAAAACCACCTTTGTGTTCATAATTAAGAGTGACTGTGTACCTGTTTCCTAAAGAATGTTTATTGTAAAAATGTTTATTGAAGTCTTAATGTGTTTTGTTGTCGCATAAAAACTATACATTTTCCACACAACTTACGTTGTTCACTTAAATCATGCAGTTCGTAAAGCCAACGCCCCTGAAATGCTCAGTGATGGTGACTATATCTCAGATGTTGAAGAAGGTATTTGTAACTTTTTACTGTGATGGAACTTAACTACAGCTTTATCTTCCATTTCTTATCCTCGAAATGTAACACTTCCTTGAGTTACTAACTCTTCACCTAACTTCCGATTATTAACCTATGTAACCATCTAAAAGATGGGTATTTGGTATTAGTGGCCTCTTTGAAGCTCCTCTCCTTGAATCCATTTTCCAACTTGAAAATATGAGTATCACTAATGATGTGGGTTGCTTTCTTTTTCTCTGTTTCTATTAAACAGAAAATTGATTTTTATTGTTTACATTTGAAAATCTAGAAGAGGAAATCTGATTAATGTTTACAGCTAAAATATTTTTTAAATAAATAAGAGAAAGTATCTTATAGGTAAGAAGCTAAATGCTCATTGTTAGTTTTACTCAAGTTTGGTCCATTATTGGACCCATAATGAAAACTCAACCTGAACAAAATTGCTTTCAGAACATAAATTTTCAATATTGATTTTATGAAAGGGATCAAAAAACAAATGCTTATAGCTATACTTCATTTGCTTAAAAGAAACTACTTTTTTCTGCCTTTTAAAAAAAATCAATATATTTGCCCAGCTCATAATGTATAGATATACTAATGAATGATATCTTTAAAAGTTTCATTGGAAAATTAGCATTTTTAAATATTATAAAGATAGTGAATATTGGAGTTGTGCTGGAATAATGAAATGTGTACTTGTAATAGAATTTCTATTATATTTTTGGTTTTTTTCTTCCACCATCTGACTCTCCCAAACGTCTATCTTTTCACTCCCTGTATTTCCTATCTCTCATATATTTTTCTCAGAGATCAGACTCAATGCTATTAGTCTTTCTCTAAATTTAGGTAATTTTCCCTATTTTAATTATTGATTCTCCCCTTTGAGTTGCACAAATTCAATAGAAAATCTAAATAGTGGGAAACCTACATAACTAAAATTACTTTAACTCATTTGGCGTCCAGTGACTGCCTACCATAAGTGTGCTGTGGCCAGAGGACTGCATCTGCATACCTAGAATAGCCAATGCCTTAGTGGTCATTTAGAAACTGTCTCATTGTTCGTAATTGTTGTTTTCATAAATGTGAAAGGCTTTTACTCTTTCTCTTTCCTTTTGTCTAAATCATCAACTATATATTTACTTCTGTTCCATCCAGGATTGGATATTTGTATCATCTTTAGGACTTTAAGAATAATATGCCTTGCTGTCATATTATATTTTAATGCCTTCTTATGTAAAGTGTTCAGAGCAATTTCTTATGTGTAGAAGACAAAAGGAAAATTATGTTCTCACATAGGTGTGTATGTGAGAAATATGTTAAAAGTATATTTTCAAGTGAAATTTTATGAAATATGACAAACACAGACCCCAAAATGTGCTAGTTTCTGACAAACTATCTGAAAAATAGTTGCATTGATAAGAGGCCACGTTTGAATGTGAATCTTTTAATTTGAAGATAATTCATCCAGCCATCTTACTGGAAATGACAGTGATTTCTTATGGATTTATCTCAGCTTGGGAATTTGAAATTAAGAAACAAATTTTAATTCTCATTTTATTCATCTTTCTTTAAACTCTTTGGCCCTCTTTGGGTGTGTCCATGAGCTGTGAGAATCAAGTGGCTTTTGATTTCATAATGTTGAGAATTTAGTGTTGGAAGGGGTTCCTAAAAGGTCACTTGATCTGAGTAACAACCATCTATGCTGGAGTCACCTCTATAAAATCCTGTCTGAGGAGGTCATTTGCCCAAATGCCTTTATGACAGAAATTCCCTAATTCCTAGCCTGCCTATTCCATTTTCAACTACCCTGACTTTAAAAATTATTTATTTTACTAAGTGTCCTTCTCATTGACTCAAGCTCTGATATATTTGGCATTATTTAAAACAAAATCTGTCTCATCTGTGTGACAGTCCTTCTTTCTATTTCTTGTTAGTCTGTTTTCCTCCAGGTATCACCACCTGCACTGCCCCCTCACCATTGTGGCCAACCTCCTATTCACATTTCAGGGAGTCAATGTCTATCTCAGATTGAGGTGACCAGAACTGAATACAACATTCCAGGTGTGGTCTGATCAAAGCAGAGTAATGCAGGGCCATTGCTTTGTCCATGGACAATATTACAAATCTATTATGGGAGATTAAGACATTTTTGAGGTTATAATATCCACTTAATTGAACTCCTATTAATATTACTGTCAGCTAATGGTCCTAAACTTTGCTTACATGAGTTCTAGTAAGCCACTTGTGCCCTGTCGTGAATTTACATCATTCTGTGCTGCATAAATTAGCATTTCTGTATTACTCCAAATCCCCCCTAAAATTTTAATTCTAAAGGGACCCCTACAACTTTAATGATAGCTTTTACTTCTGACTCATTTGCCTTATGGTCTTGCCAGCACTTGGCTGCTTTAGTTCGGTCCAGAGCTGCTTGCCTCAGGAAGCCCTTACAGACTGGGACAAATGTTTCTTTCCAGGTAGTCATAAGGACATTGTGAATATCTTCCTCTAAAGAACCCATAAAAGATCATCACACTAGTATCCTAGGGTACCAATGATGTCAGTAGCCTTTAAAAGCAAATAAAAATGAAAAACAACATACATTGCCAGTTTTTCTCGAAAAAGAAAAGAAGAATGAGTACGTAATATGGAAAAATAAAATTTTAATCCTATATTATAAAAATAGAGTAAATGTTAAGGGAATGGTACTGAGAGTAGTTTTTCTTGTCTTTCTTATTTTCCTTTTTCTTCTTTGCTTTCTCCTTCTCTTTTTCCTTTCTTCTGTCTGCTATGAGAAATTAGTATAGGTAAAAGGATATTTGCATTAATTTCACACAGTAAAAAATCAAGAAAATAAATCTAGACAATGTTATCAATTAATGACCTAGGGGAACAATGGAGCCAAGTTACAGAATAGAACTAAGGCTGAAGTATCAGCAAAGCAGAGCAACAGAAGGAAAGGCGATAAAGCAGCTTTATCTAACCCACACATTACCTAGGTAGGGGGTAAGCAGAGCTCCTAGAGGGCCAGACTGATCCACAAATATCTTAATGCCCCATTGTCTTCTTTCCCAGGAAATATGTCACATACATGTAAAATTAATATATACACACAAAATTAATGTTGGTTCTAGTGCTTGTTGTATTTTTAGGTTTTGCAATTTAGAAGAAAGAAAAGAAAAGATGAAAGAGGGAGAGAGAAGAGGAAGGGAGGGAAGAAAGAAAAAAGAAAATTGAGAATAAGGTTCAATCTGTCTTCTATTTTGGGTCCCCCTCCCAAGAAATTTTAGAGTTGGCTTTGGTTCAACGCTGTCTTTATAAATTCCTATAAAGTATATTTTGTAAATTTTTAAATAACATATAAAATGCTATTTTAGCTTGTGTAATTCTAGGAGATTGGGTTATAGTAACAGATTTAAAGAACTATAAATGGGACATAATGAGAAATGGAATTACGCCATGGTGGGACACCTGGGTGGCTCACTGGTTGAGCATCTGCCTTAGGCTCAGGGTGTGATCCTGGAGTCCTGGGATCAAGTCCCACACCAGGCTCCCTACATAGAGCCTGCTTCTCCCTCTGCCTATGTCTCTGCCTCTCTCTCTCTCTCTCTCTCTCTCTCTCTCTCTCTCTCTCATAAATGGATAAAATCTTATAAAAAAGGAATTACACCATGGGAAGTAAAAACCAAGGTAGCTCTATGAAATGGGACTCCACTGAACAGGTTTGGGAGACAATTGGGTGAGACTGGGAACTATTTAATTCTCAGCTACTCCCAATTTTGATAGGGCTACCATATCTTACTCAGGATCAAATGCAGACACAATATTAAAAGGAAAAAAAGTAAGAGGCTAAGTACACATGTGGTAGAAATAATTATCAGATACGTAGAGGTTTGAGATATATTAAGGCATTAAAATTTCATCAGATGTTAGAGTGACATGAAGGGTGAGGAAAGTTGTGCTCAGTCACCTTTTACCATAATTCAGTGCCCAGTGAGTTGAATTGACATCATGTAGCCCATGCTGTCCGCTGTACTGATGAGGCAGCAAAGCCCAAATAAACATTGAGTAGCTTGCCCAGACAGGTTAGTAGCAGAGCTGAACAGGAAGGCAGATTGGACAGACGGTCTGGATCTAGATCTTCTCTTTCATTGCTACTCTAACATGATCTATTTTCTTATATACAGAACCCAAGAATGTATTGTTTTTTAAGCTTTAAAAAAGGAAAAGCTTAGGAAAAGGAGCAGATCGTGCTCTTGGAAATTATCACAAGCTAATAATAATTATGTCAATGACCTTGATAAGACTATAATAGAAATAGTATACTTTCTTCTGACCATATTGGTAAAAGAAATATGCAGACCAAGATGTAAATTCCAGCAAAATAAATATAAACGTAATTTAGAATAGATCTTAAGAATTCGAAGCAAGTAGTTTAGCAAGCATATCTGAGTCTTCTCAATTAGGAGAGGATAAGTAGAATTTGAATGGCACAATCTAAAACTCAAAAAAGTAGAAGTTACTTTGGGAGACATGAAGATGGATATCAAGAAAACCACCTGGAAGATGCCCTTTTAGGAGCCCCTCTCACAAATGCCTAGGACTGTCTTGCTATCCTAATCTCCTGGGCATGCTAATAAATAAATCAGGCTATTGACTTTTTAGCTTTATAGATCTGTAAAGAAGCCTTAGAGATGAGCCTGCACCAGGTGGTCCAAGGAAGTGGTGATTGTTATGCAGAAATTGTTCTTCACCTGAAATGTTATCATTTTACAAATACCCGTTCAGTCATAAAATCTAGCCTTTTGCCCAATATTTCTCTGCTTACAATTGACCTTTCAAATAGATATTACCTAATTGCATCCTTCTCCTAGTGATAAAGTCAAAATGAAATACCAGAAGCAGAGACCCAGAATCTAACACAGTGCCTGATATACAGGAGATCTTCACTATGTGTTTGGGTGGTTACATTAAAGTGGAGGGAGACTCCAGGAAAA